CGATTATTTACAGACTGCTGTCATATAGCTGGAGTCAGTGAGTTTAGTTTTACGCCGCTTTTAGCAATATTCCAGCAATATCACGAGCACTGCCATGAATGCTCAAAGATGTCTCTTTGACCCAATTCCTACTGTGTTATTCAAGGCCACTGTGGATCACATAACACCTGCTCTTTGGGACATCATCAATGCTTCTACCTCATCTAGCAAGTTTCCAAGTAAACTTAAACATTGTCACTCCATTGCTAAACAAGAAGACAAAGTCATCAATATCCCCCGCAATGGCAAAATACTCTTCATGATTATGTCTACGAGTTATGATTATGTCAAATATTTAGGTGTGTATATAGAAAAGTGGAAGCAGAGTATTGAAAGGTTTTTAAAGTTCTGCTCCAGAAAGGAGCACTATCACCAATTTCAGTCTATGTCAAACTTGTTGCCATGGAAATGCCAAAAATATTTTATTCAGAATTCCAAAACTACCAAAAGGCACCAGAAACCACCAGATCCATCTATGTGCCAAGTTTGTTGAAGAAATATTGAACGGTTTTAGAGTTCAGCTCCGGAAAAGACAAATGTGCACGGAAGGACGGACGGACGGACGCACGCACGCACGCACGCACGGAGTCCATTTTAATACCCCCCGCAAAACGCGTTGCGGGGGATAAAAACGGGGTTTGATCAAGACAACCTAAATATCTGCCCGTTAAAATCTCTTTCAGAGGCATTTAGAAGTTGGAGCAGTAAGGAAGGATAACGATATATATGTATGGATGAACAACTTCTTTATTGCTGTGAGAGCGAGTTGCGATGAAGGTTCTAACACTTGCTTGATAACGGTGTTAGAACCTACGATGAAATGTCGCTCTCGGTATAATAAAGAAGATGTTCATCCAAATATTATCCTTCCTATCTGTCCCTTGAAGTTCAAGCTGAGCTTTCTGTCACGATACGATAGTATGGGGTTCCTCAGAGTTCTATTCTCCAACTGGAGCAGTACATTGATAAGTGATGACACATGGCACTGGATTTGTCTACTCACACCTCACTCATTAGTTGAGCATGTTTTTATTGCATTTACAACATCAGCTAAGTTCGCCATCTCCTGGATACACCAACAACAAAATTGTTGATGCAGTGCCTTGTCTTCCAGGCTTCATTATTACAATAGGCTGTATTGGCCAAGTTACAGCAAATCCAGCAAGACACACATTCCTAGAACTGAAGACAGTACTGATGCTCTCAAAACCTTGCACTGGCTACGTCTCCCTTCGAATTATCTTCAAGATCTGTATTAACACCCACGACTGCCTCAACAATATGTTAACTATCCTTCACACCTTAAGGACTCCTAAACGTCCACTTAGATCCCCCAGTGGGCTCTACTTAACCAGCCATCTACTTTTGCGATGTCTGACTGTGCTTTCTCAGTTTGCAGTCACCAGTTATGGAATTCTCTGCCTTCTGCATGGGCGGATCCAGGAATATTTATTTATTTTATTTTATTTTTTTTATTTTCATTGGGGGGGGGGAAGAGAAGAAAGGAAGGAAGAGGGGGAAGGGTGTGGTTTTGACCCCCCCTCTGGATCCCCCATTGGCTCTGCTAACGCAAAAAACATCTTCAATGTGGTCTTAAGTCATTTTCAAAGGGTGGGGGTGGGGGTCCCCTGAACCCCCCAATGTTCTGAACTAAGAAACAACAAATCCAAAGATCTTTCAAATCTCTCCTTGACACCCACCTCTTCCGGTCAGCATTTCACTAGACTGGATTGTGTGTTTATGTCTGCATGGACTTGATTTTATTATGAGTGCGGTCATAGCGACAGTGAACACCTGTTGATGGATACTTGGCCCTTAGCCAGTGAGTGAGTATTGTTTATGCCACTTTTAGCAATATTCCAGCAATATCATGGGGGTGGACACCAGAAAAGGGCTTCACGCATTGTACCCATGTGGGGAAACGAACTCGGGTCTTCAGCGTGGTGAGCAAATGCTTTAACCACTAGTCACTTAAAAAGGTCACATGCAACCAAAAAATCAAACATAATTAAAACACAATTATCACTTCTTCATGACATATAATATGCATTGCTGATTATGAAAAAACAAATAAACAAAATTATAAGCGTATAATCGCAAATCAAAAGTGCAATATTTTGTACTTGGGTTTACTTCCCAAGAAACGAAGCAGCCGGGATACCGAACCCAGTCAGAGCGGGTGGGTGTGCACTCAAGTGTAACGGCTGCTTCATTAGCAGATGCCGCCTTGACGGCTGATTGTGTGTGTATATATAGAAAGTTGGGTTTTGTAAATACATGCTCATTTTTTGTGTATAACATTTTGCAATCAACAGACATCATAACATGTTATGTGTTCAAGTATCACACCTGCCTGTCTGTTTAATTACATAATGTGACAGAGACCGAACTCGGGCTATAAATCAATGCGTTTTGTTTATGGTGTATAGTCTGATTGGTGTTAAGTTCAAATTGCATGTGGTCAGTGATCGCAGTTGTGTATTGAATATTGTCATTAGCAGACAGGCAGGCAGACACACAGGTGTCAATAAAGCAAGACATTGTGTTTTGTCTGTCATGTCTATATCACAGTTAGAAATTGTGTCAACTCTAAATAATGACATTGCTTTTAAGTATCGAACTGAGAAAGTGACTCGGTAAGAAGAACGTGTGGTGAAATAGACAAATGAAATTATATAAACAGTTTATTTACTGTCATAACATACAAAAGCTCGCGCTTGTGAGATATCAACAAAACATTAGGAAAATAGCTCACACCAAAGCCTTCACCGAGTATTCACAAGACAGCCCGCTTCCAAGTTGCGCGAACCTATTTCACTGCGCACGTGCTATGAGCGCAGCCCAGCTGTTGAAACCCGTATTCCCCAGAAAAGTAGTGAAACGTTTGAACTCCGATTTCGCGCGTTTTGTTTCATCGCGTTATTTTTCAACTTTATAAGTTGAATTTGCATTTTTGACGCTTTGTTTCGGTAAGTCCATACCGAAAGGTATCAGAATCTGCAAAGTTGTGTTTTACGTTGCATGTGACCTTTAAGAAATCAATTAATATCAATTATTATTCTTATTATGAACTGACGCTGCAGCTTGTTTCTGCCTGGCATGATTATTTACAGATCTTTAACATTCTAGTGCCTAACCGGCAGCTTGGGTTATCCGGGGTAATAATGATCAGATAATGCACTTTGGGCAGGATATCTAGCCTGGAAAAAGCGTGTTATAAATATTCTCATTATTTTTATTATTATTATCTTCCGACTTATTGATGTATCAGATGACAGGTAATTTATATTTGGAGGTGAGGTGAGGTAAAATTGGGTTTAACGTCCTGCTTGAGAATATTTCGCTGATATGACGACCTGCATGTGTGTGTATGTGTATGTGCGGCTGCTTGTACTAGCCCAGACTTAGGCTGGTTTTATAGTGCTAGCTCAATGAGATACTATGCCGCAGTGAAGCATGAATACCCCACTCAGACACAGTATACTGACTCCAAGCCGACCAGTCCTTGTTGTACCCATTAATGCCGAACGCCAGGCAGGGACCAACAAGTACCATATTTTAACGTCTTTTGGTATGAGGCGGTCGGGGATCGAACCTGCGACCTTCCGCTCTCCGGGCGGACTTATATTTGGACCTACTACAAATGTTGCTCCTGATCTTACATCTCTACCCATTCACTGTAAGTACACATGTCTACAGCTTCTTTTAATACTAAATGAATTCATATATACTATGACAGTTGGCATAGTGATGTAAGTGCCTACATAGCAATATACACCCTATTGGGTCATCCAGAGATGTAAGTCTCAGTGGTCTAGCAATAAAAAAACTATTCAAATACTGAGGCATATTCTTTAAGAGCTTGTGTGGGGATCCTTTTCAGAAGTATTCACTTCAAGAGATGAACAACCCATGGTACGGACAATTAATGACATTTGTGACCAATAACACTTGCAATCGATGAGACAAAAAACAGTGTTTGTCTCGCCCAGTGTGACCACAAAAGACTGTAGGAACAGACAGGTGAAGGTATTTACACTTTAATTCAACAAAAGTCATCAGAAGATGACATATCCCCGGCCCCCACATATTTGAAAGAACGAATCATCTGACAGTTACTGAAAGTCCAGCTTGACTTATTTTAAACTAAGTCCAAATCGTTTGCATGGAAATCATGAGAAATATAAATGCAAAAAATCTGTAAATAGCAAAAGGTTACACTTTAGGTTCTGTTTGATATAACTACTAATTTTTGCTGAAAGAATTTGATCAGTTTTCGAGTTGTGCTAGGGAATCGAAGGCCATCTCTCCCTTTTGAGTCCGAATAGTTTCCATGGAAATCGGGAAAAATACAAATGCCAAAAATCTGCAAATAGCAAAAGGCACCATTTTGGGATCTGCCTCACATATCTGCCAAGTTTTGCTTAGAGATATTAAGAAGTTTTCGAGTCATGCTCCGGAAACGAAGTCCACCCCTCCCTTTTGAGACTAAGTCCAAAACGTTTCCATGGAAACCAAGAAAGATATAAATGCCAAAAATCTGTAAATAGCAAAAGGCACCACTTTAGGTTCTGTTTGATATATCTACCAAGTTTTGTTGAAAAATATTGAACGGTTTTTGAGTTGTGCTCCAGAAACAAAACCAATCCCTCCTTTTTGAGACTAAGTCCGAAACGTTTCCATGGAAACCAAGAAAAATAAAAATGCCAAAAATCTGCAAATAGCAAAAGGCACTTTGGCTTATGTTTGATATATCTACCAAGTCTTGAAGAAAGATACTGAATGGTTTTCGAGTTGTGCCCCGGAAACGAAGGTCACTCCTCCTTTTGAGACTAAGTTCAAATCGTTTCCATGGAAACCAAAAAAAATAAAAATGCCAAAAATCTGTGAATAGCAAAAGGCACCACTTTAGGTTCTGTTTGATGTATCTACCAAGTTTTGTTGAAAAATATTAAACAGTTCTTGAGTTATGCTCCTGAAACAAAATGATTACGGACGGACGGACGAGGCGTCGACTATATCCCCCCGCATTACATGCCGGGGATAATAACATGAAATACAATGACAATTCACCAAATGAGGATGCCCTGTGTATGTCAGCTACCAAGAATAACAAAACTGTATTTTAACATCATACATAGTACATAGCCAGGCTTGCCCAAGTGTTCCTGGTCTGTGAATGATGTTGCAAATATCTGTTGCATCTTCACGAAACAGCCAATCTTCCCTGAGTGAAATAAATGCAGAAAATGTAGTGCTTTTGTTCACTTGCTTCAGCTGCTCTTAAAATAGAAGTCAATCCCTCGATTCCGTTGTGGCTTGTCTCCTTTCCCCTGAGGCCGGCCACGCTGAAACAACCAAGGTTTGTGACCTTCACATGACCATAGATAGCTGAAGTGTTTGTTTTATTTGTATATTGTTTAATACACTACTACAATATGACAGCAGCATTTAAACAGGGAACATGGACAAAACAATCCATTGTTTGGTTGGTTGTTTAACGCTGCACTCTACACAAAGGTCCCAGGTCTCCCTGGGAGGTGGCATCAGGTGAACTTTTAAATCGGTTAACCAGGCATCGAAATTTTCAGTATTACAAAAAGCTGATTTCTGTATTTCAAAAAACAAATAAATTCAAAGTTTTAAAAGTAGACATTATAGAGAGGCTATTTTTTTATGTGCATATTTTATACAGCCTGTGACTGAGAGAACCTTGCATCTAAAACCCCAAAGGGAGTATCATCAACTAATATGTCTGATGCGGTGGAGTTCATTGCTTCAAATAAAAATTTGATGCCGCTCTCAGCAATATTCCAGCTATATGGCGGAACACTGAATACTCGAGTCTGGACCAGACAACCCAGTGATCAACAGCATAAACATCGATCTACACAATTGGGATGCGATGGCATATGTCAACCAAGTCAGCGAGCCTGACCACCCGATCCTGGTAGTCGCCTCTTATGACTAGCATGGGTTACTGAAGACCAGTTCTAACCCGGATCTTCACGATAGACAAGCATGGGTTACTGAAGACCAGTTCTAACCTGATCTTCATGCCTTCTTCTTCATGACAAGCATGGGTTACTGAAGACCAGTTCTAACCCGGATCTTCACGAGAGACAAGCATGGGTTACTGAAGACCAGTTCTAACCCGGATCTTCACGAGACAAGCATGGGTTACTGAAGACCAGTTCCAACCCGGATCTTCACGAGACAAGCATGGGTTACTGAAGACCAGTTCTAACCCGATCTCCACACGATCTTCAACCAGAGAGACAAGCATGGGTTACTGAAGACCAGTTCTAACCCGGATCTTCACGAGAGACAAGCATGGGTTACTGAAGACCAGTTCTAACCCGGATCTTCACGAGACAAGCATGGGTTACTGAAGACCAGTTCTAACCCGGATCTTCACGAGAGACAAGCATGGGTTACTGAAGACCAGTTCTAACCCTGAAGACCACTTCTAACCCATCTTCACGAAGACAAGCATGGGTTAGACAAGCATGGGTTACTGAAGACCAGTTCTAACCCTTCACGAATCTTCTAACGAGACAAGCATGGGTTACTGAAGACCAGTTCTAACCCAGATCTTCACGAGAGACAAGCATGGGTTACTGAAGACCAGTTCTAACCCGGATCTTCACGAGAGACAAGCATGGGTTACTGAAGACCAGTTCTAACCCAGATCTTCACGAGAGACAAGCATGGGTTACTGAAGACCAGTTCTAACCCGGATCTTCACACCGACCAGTTCTAACCATGGGTTACTGGATCTTCAACCCGGATCTTCAATCTTAGGAGACAATCCCATTGACTGACATTGTGTTTAGTAACCCGGATCTTCACGACAAGATACTGGATATGACCAGTTCTGACACACCATTGACTGACATTGTCCATGAATCATTTGATCTGATCACTTCATACATTTGGTTACCTCTTTCAACCAACACACGTTGCTGGAACCAAGTATGACCCAAAGTATCCACGAGGATTAGCTGTAGAGTGGCATATGAGGTGAGGTGAGGTGAATTGGGTTTAACGTCATGCTTGAGACTATTTCCCTCATATGACGACGTGCATGCTTGTGTATGTGATGTGCGACTGCTTGGACTAGCCCAGACTGAAGCTGGTTTTATAGTGCTAGCCCACTGAGATACCATGCCGCAGTGAAGCATGAATACCCCACTCAGACACATTATACTGACACATTATACTGACTCCGAGCCGACCAGTCCTTGATGTACCCATTAACGCTGAGCGCCAGGCAGGGACCAACAAGTACCATATTTTAACGTCTTTTCGTATGACGCGGTCGGGGATCGAACCAGCGACCTTCCGCCCTCCAGGCGGACGCTCTAACCACTATACCACTGAGGCAGTCAGTGGCATATGAGTATGGTAACACTTCAACAACATTTCCATTTATACCAGGGAAAGTAATGCACAGGGAACTGATAATGTCCTGCCTGGACTTAGGATTCAGCTGATTCAACAACTTACTGATTTGGCACTATGTCTGCCCCATTCTGGTGCCACCAAGAGTGGTTTCGGATATGTTTCTCCCAGTGAAACCTCTGCGTGAGACAGTACTGTATTACTGAGGGCCCAGACGGTGTGTACGTCACCCCCTGTCACCTTCGACAGCTCCGGCACCCAGAGGCGGACATAGTCACCCTGAAACACAACACTATCTTTCTGTACTCAAAACATATTAAACATGCTCTCTTGATTATAAAGGGTACTACATGCTCTGAATACACCATGCCTTTCAGAAAGTGGTCAAATGCAACATGTTATATTTGAGAGGCCTAAAAAACATGTTGTGGTTCCGATTACCCGACCGACCCTTGAATTCTGGTGCCGACCTTATTTTTTTTTTAAGCGGACTGAATAAAATAAGCTTTCAGATACTATTGTTTTTCCCGGCACTGACAGATATCGGTCATTCTGATAGAGAAAGTCAACATGATGGCCGCAAACTTGATTGAATAAACAATTACACATTGATACATGTGTTATTAGTTTTACTTTCCTTCTAAAAAAATATGTAAAAAAATAAATTCCTACCTACCTACCCTAACTTTTAAAGAGGTGTAATCGGAACCACAACATTTTTTTTTATTTGGCCAGATTAAACTTTCCCAGTGCACTACAGAATCGAGTAGTTTTCAGGTTGAGTGCCATCTGTGATTTGAATCCACCTAATTGCCAGCACACGAATTCAGCAATCTAACCCACTAAACCACCACAGCTTCCCTCTTATGGATGTCCACCAACTGTGTCTAAATCACATACTTTGTGTACCCCTCTGACAAGTGTAAATTGGCATATTACATGCCCATTCTGCTAGGATATATTCCCACGGAACAATTTGCAGTCATAGTTTCTTATTTATTTAAAGCAGGCAATGCTAAAGATAGCTGTGAACTCAAATTGTAGTTTTTAGTCGCCTTTAGCAACATACGAAAAAATATCACCGCTTTGGACACCAAAAATGTTCTTCACACATTGTACGCATGTGGGGAATCGAACCCGGGTCTTCAGCGTGACGGGCAAACGGTTTAACCACTAGGCTACCCACCGCCCAGGATTCTTAACCTCAGTTAATATTGTCTGAACTATGGCTAGATGGATCCTTCATCCTTGAAGGTTGGTGTTGTTATTCCTCACCTGAGCATCATAATCCAAGCCCTGCTTGACGATGTTGAACTTGCGATCCTGACGAGGGTCATTACCAATACCTGCACTGTACAACCAGTTGCCATAGTTACTGCATACATCATGGTCTATCTGAAATACAATGAATTACATTGACACCATATAATATATGAGTATTGAAGAAAGTAGATTCCAATAACATAATGTGTCAAGTGGAACTTGGTCAAGGGACACGTCTAAAAGTGGTAGGCCAAAAGTCAGCACCCATGCGCAAGCTGGCTACGTCCTTTCATCTTCGCCATCAACAGTGAAAATAGTATATTTCACTTACAATGATGGCATCATTTATACATGTTAATTAAGTATGTTGGTGAGTGAGTGAGTTTAGTTTTACGCCGCTTTTAGCAACATTCCAGCAACATCACGGCTGGGGACACCAGAAATGGGCTTAACACACTGTACCCATGTGGGGAATCGAACCCGGGTCTTCAGCGTGATGAGCGCACGCTTTATCCACTAGGCTACCCCCACCACCCGTGAGTGCTTGAGTGAGTGAGTGAGTGTGGTTTTACGCCGCTTTTAGCAATATTCCAGCAATATCATGGTGGGGGACAACAGAAATGGGCTTCAAACATTGTACCCATGTGGGGAATTGAACCCGGGTCTTCGGCGTGACAAGCCAACACTAGGCTACCCCACAGCCCCTGAGTGAGTCAGTGAGTGAGTGAGTCAGTCTTACTATTGCTTTGACATGTAAATACTTTCTATGAATCTTGATGATGGCATTCAAACTTGACATAAGTTAACTTGTCCTTCAAGACCACCAGGCTACCTTTATCTGCAGGAACAATATCTCTATTCTGTCTGTATGGATACTAACACCAATGCCTTACTAGCAGGCTGCACGTAGAACTTACCAACATGGATTCAAACCACTCGGCACCCAGTCTCCAGTCTAGTTTCAAATCCTTCGTCAAGAAACTTGCGACATTCTGCATAATGAAAGTGCTTACTGGTAATTAGAATGAGAAAAAAGCCTCCTTGTGCAATTGAACTATCAATAATATTCATTGCATCTTTGGCCTCATTAGAATGAAATTCATTCAAAATGCAAAATAATTTTAAGACAGGGACATTTTGGTTCAACTACAACGACCATAATAACTGCTGCCTGATCATTCTTATTTCCTGTAGTGAACATTTTTAAAATGATGACATTATTTGAAATGTATCCAAGATACACTTAGTTGCCCATCAAACTCAGTTAATTTACAGTCAGCATAAAATTGCTCAGCATAATCTGTTATTTACTGTTGATGATATGGGAAAAGCTGGTCAGCATGGTAACGAATTGAGCAACTGATAGGTTTTCAGTAATGATTGACAATTATCTCTTGTAGTAGTAGATGGTGCCTACCTGTCTGCCCCTGTTGGACATAAAGCCAGTAGCCAGCAGCTCTCGCATGTTGGCATCGATGTATGGAACACCGGTAGTGCCACCTGTCACAGAAAACAGTGCTGGAGGAATCAAACAATTTCAAGATTATGTGGGACAGTTCTGTAGCGGTATTTTCGTTGCAGAAGAGATAAATGTTGGTTTGAAAATCATGTCACTAGCACAATAATCATGTCAGAGAAAATTCTCTGAATTAATGTTTGAAACTGTGTGAGATATCTTCATCAGTATTGATTTATTTGTTGATCGTTTCCCAGCAAATTTAATTTTTGCAGTGCACATAAGCTAAGCTAACTTGAAATCTGCCTGTTGAAATTTGTGGCATAATCCATGGTATTACAAAGGATAATATATATCAACTAGCGTCTGAGAGTTCATTTCTCTGTCAGCCTGAGTGTAAATGTTGTACACTCAGTTGTTTAGTTTTGCAAGATATGTCCAAAACAACACAATTACCGGGAATTACCATATTTAGGCCCACCTGAAATTTAGCCCATGGGCTAAAATACGGGATTTGTTTTCCTAATTTAAGCCTGTGAGCTTAAATTTGGATTTACTTCTTTGGTGTTTAGAGTGTTGTCCCTTTCCAAACACATGGCCAACCTCGTTTTCAACTATAGTAGTGCTTCTGAGAGCTTATCACTTTTACAGAACATTTTGGACACCACTTACAGGGCAGTTATTAGTGACAAAAATTGATCATCTTAACCCCTATGATGTACATGCAGTTGCATTTAATTGAACCATGTGGTCATTCAATTTTGAATTTATAGACCAGTTTCCTGATAAAAGAGTTTTTAAAAACCAGATTCTTTTAATATTTATCAAAATATAGCATTTATGGTTAAAATATTTCATCACTAGAACAAGTGATTTTCCGTATTTAAGCCCGAGGTTTAAATTCTTTCTATTGAATTCCATGGTAGGATTCTGTGCTGGTGATGATCATGATCAAAGACTGACTGACTGACTGAGTTTGGTTTTTCGCCTATTTTAGCAATATTCCAGCAACATCACTAGGGCGGGTGAACACCATAAATGTGAATTTCGGTAGGATTCTATGCTGGTGATATCGATGAAGAGAATTCCATTGCAGTGTATCAAGTATCAGGGAATTCAAGGTCACATGTTATCTTAGGTCTTCCATTCTCCATAACTACCGGTACCTTTAATGCTGCCAGTGTATACATGTTAATACATGTACATGCACTTACTTTTCCAAGCTTCAAACTGCCTCATGTCTTTCTTCCATGGTATGTCCTTCCCCAGTATGCCTGTTGGAAGACCAATATATAGAGTGGTCACACTACAGCACTAGAAACTAACATAAGATTGCACTTTGAAGTTACTAACATTTCTGACGAGCTGGTTGATGGCGGATGGCCAGGAGCCATGATGGCTAATTCAATTTTAGAGGAAAAGCAGTCTGTACATTCTTACAAATGAATAAAAGTTCTGAGCGAACAGGATCCTGCACTGGCAACTCACCTCCACTGAAAAAGATCTTGTTTCCATATTTGAGAGCCACAAACCGAAAGTAGTCCCTCCAGAGGAGCTCAAATATGACCCAATATGTTGACTGGTTGGCAGTACGCTTCGCCTCGTACTTTTTAATCTCGGAGTAGATGAAGCGAGGGGAAACACATCCATGGGCCAGCCTGCAACATTCACAAGACAATTCTCACTGTTGGAGGAAGCCAATCCCGACTGATCCATAATCATAGTGTCATTTCCACTGATATACATTAGTAAGCAAAGATGGAATAAAGCTTTTAACTTAAATATCTCATTTAACAGGATTAACTATATTAACATGACAATAATGCAGTTTTGTTAATGAATAAAACATAATATACTTTGATTATATTTGTAAATCTACTTGAATACACTGTAAATATATACAAGGCCGGACAAATTTTATTTCTTGTTTTACGGATTTGTGTCCTCAGAAAACCTAAAGGCAGGAGGAAAAACAAAATAAAAATAAAATCATCAAAGTAATATTCCTTTGAAATATTAAAAGTATTTTACTTTTAGCAATTTATGAAGTGTATATGGGGCAAAAAAACAATGAAAAAAAAAATCTTTTAAGTTTACATTTTTTCATTTTTTGCCAAGAAGAACATTAGGATTTTGTTTTTTGAGTGGGGAAAATTAATTTGTATTTTTTTGCTTATTCTTGAAAAAATACGACCAGCTGATCCGTAAAACAAGAAATAAAATTGGTCTGGCCTTATACACAACTTGGTACAGTTCACAGATCCATTAGTGTGATCGATTATTCACAACATGATTACTTCATAACATGACATATTATTTTATAACACGTTCATCTGTTTATCACTGATAAATGAGTTAGTAGGGAGTAATGCTGCAGTAAACACTTGTTTGTTTGCTGTCGCACTCAGCAATATTCCAGCTATATGGCAGCTGTCTGTAAATAAGCGAGTCTGGGCCAGAGAATCCAGTGATCAACATCATGAGCATCGATCACCTGTCAACAATTCCAGTGAGCCTGCCCACCTATCCCGTAAGTCATCTGTTACAACAAGCATGGGTTACCGAAGACCAATTCTATCCCGGATCTTCACTGATCTTCTGGCGAAAAACTGCAGCACAATTTGGCTGACAAACACAGGATGGGCAAGTCAGGGTTTCAAATATATGATAATAGGAAGAGGTTCCTGGCAGTTCCAAGGGATGTAACTCTACAAGTGAAATCTGATGTGGTAGATAAGTTTATAAATGGACACCTACCATGGTGAGAACTTTGTGGAGAAATCGGCACCAATCATACCATTCCTTGTCTCCTTGTACTGGGCGACATGGTCTGTGTCCCACAGGTAGTTCTGTAGCCTTGCAACACCAGTTGTCTCCCCTCCAGCAAAGGGAAATGCTGTCCTAGGGTCTGTTGTTGATTCTGAACATAAAGTTTCCATGGTAAGGCTACATATTATAAATTTAACAGTATGTCAGCTGTAAACTTTACACAGTATGACATACTCTATCCTGACAACAAGAAAGTCGACCCATGGTGTCAGCAAAGATATCGATTAAGTAAGTAAATTAGTTTTCAGCAATATTCGATCCACATCATGTTGGGAACTATTGACAGAAGCAGTATGGGTTTCTACAGGACATGAAGCTGAGAAATGTGTGGACAAGAGAGACTTGAAGTGTCGACCACTGCCAAAAAACACAATGTCCATCATTAGTGGTGGTCCGATTAATTGAAATAATCGAAGATTGGTTGTAGATACTAAACGACCAAGCAATCGATCATAATTTCTCATAATCGAACACAACCAATTTTGGAACACTTGTTTTCATTAACAATATTTTTCACATGGTTGGTTTTGGCTGTTACATTTTATAAGCACTACAAGCTCGTTTCAAGTCATGATTGAATTTATCTTAAAGGCTCCAAGAAATTTATGTTCCTAACATACTAGTCATCCTTTAAAGATGTGAAATTTTGCCAAAAAGCCCCAAAAGAACTACATGTTCTTTTCCTTATTTTTATGTGCATTAACAAATTTCATAAATGACGCTAACAAATTATTTTCGATGACTGATCAGTTGTAATGAACCAATCATCAATTATGAGATTTTAACCAATTCCCAACACTATCCATCATCGGTGGGATTGACTAGTGACCGAAACAAATCGCAATGAACATGGGAACAACTGCACATTATCAGAAAACATCACCAAACAATCCATTCTTGTACCGAATTACCTGTGCTCCATGTAAACCTGTTCCACTCAGTATGAATACGTGAGGCATAATGTGTTGCAGTGCATTTTAATCCAAAGAAACGCCACTGGCCTAACGTCAAATACTGACCTTGAACACCAAGATCATGAGGGGTGGGGATCGTGCCCTCCTCAATCCCTGGGGGTAGAGGTTTCAGCCTGTCTGGGGTAGGGATGACAGATCTGACTGGAGCCTGCTCTTCAACTCTTTTCCTGAACTGTGTGTATACATCTGGAACACTGAATTGTGTCATGTGTTTATATTAAACCAACACTGTATCACATGATACATGATGTTCTTCACTGTGGGGACCCCTGCAACCTATCATTGTTGTAAGCAACCAGGGAGCTACCACAAAGTGATCGTAGCGCTAAGGTGATCGTACTCCAAAACTTTAACATAGACTTATGACAGTAACAGCGCTACGATTGCTTTGTGAAACAGGCCCCAGGGCCCCGGTCTAAGTAAACTTAGGCTCAGTATTATTCGTCTAACAAAACCTAATAGAAGGTCGCGTCAGCTAACGTTTTGGACTGACCAATCAGACCACAGCTTACCAAATCGCGAAAGTTAACATTAGCACATACCGTTTGAACCTTTACCTCAAAAACTCGAATGATTCCGAATGCTATTTTCCACACGATCACTTCTGAGTGATACAAACAATGAGTAAACAGTCGCTTAAAATAGCATTGTTGTCAATATTCAAGGATGTCATCATGCGAAAATATAAGCAAATAAAAAACCATGTCATTAGAAACCCCTAAGCGTATGTACTGCATGTCAAATATCTGTGTTTTATGCGGATTTTCGTTTGTTGATAGATCAGTGTCAGCAACCAAGGAAGAGAAAATCCAAAAACCGTTTTGTAAGTCCCACTGAACCCTAACAAGTAGTCGTTGTCTGATTGGTTAAATCTGTTCGGCCGTCTCTCGTTTGATTGGACGGTCATAGGTCGCTCAAATGTTAGCTGACGCGACCTTCTGCCAGGTTGTGTTAGACTCAGTATGGCAGTGTAATAATATCAAGTTTACTTTGACTGCCAGGGCCCCATACCACGAAACAATCTTCGCACTACGGTAACCTTAACCCCCTTACTTGACATATAATTAAAATTAATGTAGTACCAACCTCAGCCAGCTTGAGGTGACGGGATCGAGCCCACCTGTGACCGGGTGTAAAACCCTTGGAGTCAACTTTGTGTGCATACTAGTTTCAGAGTTGTCACAACCCCTTGTGTACTTAAAAGAACCCACGAATCCGTTGGTATATGACCAGATGGTGGCCACATGAATACGTGCAAACACCCAGTTGCGGGTACAGCAACATGCAGTAAACTTGGACAAAGTACTGTGACTATGTGTCCCAGTCCACCCAGCTGTGAATGGGTACCTCCTAAGGATGGGAATGCCACAATAACTCGGTGCGCCTAGTGGCTGCAAGAGTTGTATGGTCCCCAGGGAGTTGAGATTGACAATACAATGTGCCGTTGAGATTGACATCCAGAGAACGAGGGGAAAACAAAGCACCTTTGAGCAGCTGAGCTGGATATCGGCGCTATACAAATGTTAGTATGTATGTATGGATGTATGTGGAACAAGGGCCAGATCAGGTGGTCAGGCACATGGGCATGTCAATGTACACTAATTACACGGATTGTTGCTCATGATATCAATCACTGGAGTGTCTGGTCCATCTAAAAAGGGTTGACAAATGGGTTCCATGGTCTTCATTATTTTAATGCATTGAAAACAAACAAGTTGAAATCCATATATTAATAAACATGATATACATATGTGTGCAACATTAATTTCTTACTTCTTGGGGTTGAATGGTAAATCTTCTTTATGATGTAATGTGTGGCCCCAAACTGTATGAACTTTGACCCCACACTTTTTATTCAAGCCTTGTTCAACTGTCAACTCTTCTTCAGTCACCTAATCATAATTTGAAGACAAATTCCAATGAATAAACACAAGATGCTTTGCAAAATCGTTTACCTTAATAACTAAAAGGAGACAAATTTAATCTGGAAAGGACTTGTATTTCATTTCAACTAATAATGATAACTACAAAACAACTGCATGAACAATAAGTTAATCTGAAACACCAAGCAGACAAAAATACTCCACACTGCTTACTTAATGGCAATGTATGCCGACAAATATATAGAAACAAGCAGAAAAAATGCGACCAAAAAACTTTATTCTGTAGACTCGATCCTACTATCAAAAGAGCCGAAATACATTGTTTCTAGCTGCCAGTAGCTTAGCTGGTTGGTATAGAATTATCTCCCTTGGGTTCAGGGATGGCATGATCACGTGACCTCGTTGCTAGCAGACGATACCGAAGCTTTGCCATGACGTTACAAAACAACAGAAATCGACTCTTGGCATATTATGAAGCAGGTATTACATCCGTAACTAGACTTGTGAAACTGACGGGACTGCATCGGGCCTCTGTTTACCTAAATTTGACGCAGGGTTAGGGACAGAAGCTGAAGGCTGGATCGACGTCGTACTCTCTTGGGGCAAATGACAGATGACGATCGCAGCGCATCCCACATCGTGCGCACCCAAACTTGCCTGCAAAACAGCTTGCCGTAAAGGCGTCAAGTCAAGGAACCCCTAAGGTATCAGAATGGACAATCAGAAGATCTTTAAAGCAATCTGGATATGTCAAGCGAGTGCCGAAGAAAGTTCCATTGATCACAACAGCACATATGGAGAAAAGGCTCGAGTGGTGCAGGGAAATGCAAGGTACAGACTTTTCAAATGTGATTTTTACAGACGAATCAAAGTTTCAGTTTTATAGGACCACACAAAAAGGTGGTCAAGAGGTGGACGTAGCTGCAAAATGGTTCTGAAGTTCTCACCCAGTGTCATGGTTTGGGGTGGTATAGGCAAACTCGGGGTAACGCCACTGCTAACTATTACAGGAAGGATAGATTCACGCAAGTACTGTCAACTTATACAAGAAGGCATAGTGGAATCCCATATAGGACAGAGTGGAATACCTTTCAAACTTTTACAGGACAATGCACCTCTACACAAGTTAAGACACACCTGTAACTGGTTTGAAACGAGTCACGTGACCTTACAGATATTTCCAGCGGCATCATCAGACCTGAACCCAATTGAAAATGTGTAGCAGATTATGAAGGACAAATTAGAAAAGTTGGAACCGAAGTGTGTCGTTGAGTGGTCTAATCTCATCAGTCAAATATGGGTGGGCCTACCCCAGGACTACATAGACAATTTGATTGACACCGTATTCAGCAGTGCATCAAGAAAAACGGTGGACTAACAGACTATTGACTTGCATAAATGTAAATTTCAGTATCCAGAGTGGATGTATGAAAAATATAACTGAATTTATCAGTAAATAAATTTTGAAACTACATCTGTGAAAAGTCGCATTTTTTCTGCTCGTTACTGTACATAAAATATGAAATATGAAATTTCACAGTTGCCCATGGGTCATGCTTAGTTTGATCTAAGTTTAAACTATTCAGCAATGAAAGCATGACACTTAAAAGTTTGTCTCTTCTGTAGGCTGGTAAGGAGGTACAATGGAATATGTTCTACTGGAATTACCTCCCCTTGGTAGACTAGTCCTTGCACCATATTTTTACCAACACATTCTATCAGCTGTGGAACTACTTCCTCTGGTTTGCCTACTCGAACTATCAGGTTACTGAAAAAGAAATTGGAAGGAGATTTTGGTATTGAATTCTGACATCATAATTCATGCATAAATCATATATACTAGGCACATAAAGAAACTGTGCATACAAAAATTTAAAATCTAAATTTATCAAACCTGTGTAGACACATAAGGATTTAAACTCAGAGATTAGTGACATGTATCCAACATGCATGCACGTGCCACGTTCCGTGACGTCAGTGGGTTCGTCTTTGAGACGTGCATTCCGGGAAAGAGAAACAGAATGCCACACAATACTGTCACTTTGCAAAGCTCAACCCCTGCCCTTACGATCGTTCAAAAAATTAAACGGCTATTGAAACGCATAGCATGCCAAGGCTCACGTCTGCACAACGTCATGAGGCCATTGGGATGGTCCGTGGGGGAATGTCTCAACGACAAGTGGTTGCACATTTCCACTGCCACCGGAACACCATTTCTGCACTGGTGAGACACTACCAGAACACAAATGACGTCATCGATCGGCCAGGTTCTGGATGTCCACGTGTAACAACGCCAAGACAGGACATATGGATAAGGGTGACCCATCTTCGCCACAGGTTTCAGACTGCAGTGATGACTGCCTGAACCATCCCAGGATTTCGCCGTATCCACCCCAACACAGTTCGACTACGTTTACGTCATCAGGGATCAGACCACAACGTCCCACCATATGGCCTATCCTGACACAACGTCATCGACAAGCTCGCCGAATGTGGTGCCGAAATCATGTCCGCAGATCCATGTTTTGGTGGAGAAATGTTGTTGTTACAGATGAGTCCAGGTTTACATTTCTCATAGTGATGGACGTCAACGTGCCTATAGGCGCGTGGGAGAACGTTATGCACAGGCCTGTGTCTTGGAGAGGAATCGCTTTGATGTTGGTTCCGTGATGATTTGGGATGGAATAACACCACGCCAAAGAACTCCTTTGGTGATTGTTCAGGGCAACTTAACTGGTGTGGGCTACAGGGATCACATTCTTCGACCTGTGGCAATTCCTTTTCTGCAACGTCATGGCCCTGGGTTAACATTCCAACAGGACAATGCCGGCCCTCATACTGCAAAGGGTTGCACCACAACGTTGACTTACTGCCTTGGCCTGCAAATTCACCGGATCTCTCCACGATAGAGCATCTTTGGGACGAGATGGATCGACGTCTACGCCAGATAACGTCCTTGACCTTGCAACAGAACTTGAGAGAATCTGGCGTGATATCCCACAAGCCTTCCTTGCACGTTTGATAGGCTCTATGCGTCGTCGATGCACTGCTGTTCTCAATGCCGATGGTGGACATACGCGTTATTGAGCTTGTGACATGGTCGTTTGACCCGTCCTGCTTGTGGACTCGTGACGTCATTGTGATTGACTTTTCAATTGAAATTCTCCCGACTTGTTATGGTCTCATGATCCCTCCATTAAAGTTTATATGTACCTTTGACATTGTTATCATACTTATCAACTGGGATAATATTTTGACAATGCAGAGTTTCTTTATGTGGCTAGTATATATAGGATGTGAATATTAGGTATTTGAAAAATTATTCTCAGAAGTAGACTATCAGTGAGTGAGTTTGCTTTTATGCCGCTTTCAGCAATATTCCAGCAATATCACAGCAGAGGACACCAGAAATGGATTTCACACAATGTACCAATGTGGGGAATTGAACCCAGTTCTCCAGCATGATGAGTGAATGCTTTAACCACTAGGCTACCCCACCGCCCCTAGAAGTAGACTATACTGACTGACTGAGTTTGGTTTTACGCCGCTTTTAGCAATATTCCAGCAATACAATGTATCACGGCGGGGGACACCAGAAATGGGCTTCACTCATAGTACCCATGCGGGGATTCGAACCTGGGTCTTCGGCGTGACGAGCCAAAGCTTTAACCACTAAACTACCCCACCGCCCCAAGTAGACTATAACTACAATGCTTTGGAAAGCTTTTGTTTACTTCAGATATCTTGGGGAGACTACTTGACAAGATGGAAGATACCATCATCGACAAAAAAATAACATACTTTGTATGTGTGTTCACTTTAAGGGAACCCAACACATGTGGAATTATAAAATATCAACCTCTCTCAACCATAGCAAAATTCACCCTGATCAATATTAAATACAATGTGCATTACTGTATTATAGAATTTATGACATTTACAAGTTTTTTCACTCATATAGCGGTACATCACAGCCAAATGTAGTAGAAGAAGAACTGGATGTCTAATAGGGTAAACTTGGAGCAGGAAGATACTTATTGGCTCCAAATACAATACACAGATGAAAACTGCAAACACTGACTGTCAAATGTAAAAGCAGTAAGCGGTTACCTCCCCTTACTCTGCAGGGACTGTCTGAGATCGGCAACACTCTCCAGGAGAAACTTGAATCTATTGGCGCCGGTCTTGGGGAAGTTGAAGTGGTAGGTTCCTTTGTAGTGACGTGGGTCGAAGCAGTACAAAGGCAAAACATGTGTACCATTCTTGATAGCCCAGTGCAGTGCCTGTTGCATACAGTAAACCATGTTTATAACAAACATGCTTATGACAAACTAAAGGACTGTTTTATGCGTCTCAGCCACTTGTCGTTTATTTAATTTGAAATGCATATAACAAACAGTTATATAACTATCATTAATGGTGCCTTTGTCGCTTATTATTTAATTTGAAATGTTTTATATAGTGAGTGAGTTTGGTTTTATGCCGCTTTTAGCAATATCATGGCGGGGACACCAGAAATTGTCTTCACACAATACCCATGTGGTATACAATGATATAAAAAAATGTGTTCAAACATTAACTGATTACTCCCACCATTTGGGGCTTTGAGCAAGAGTTAAATATTTGAATGTCATATCTATATGAACGATCTTAGGATTTGTTACACTTCAACTTAAATTTCATGTCATAAACATAGTAGATGTGATATTGGCAAATTACCCATAAACCCTTCTTCATCATGGCCTCAATGTAGATAGACACGTGAGCCGGCCATTCCGAAAGTTTTGATCGTTTTCACTTGCATAGATTGGTATGAATAACTTTTCTTCCATCAAAGGGTCCATACAGGACCTAGATGGTATACCTAAGCAGAAAAATGTGCCCGTAGAGGCGCATACATCTGCAACCGATGATATGTCGAAAAACCACGTGGATGGTTTGGGCAAGTCCCATCAACCCCAACCATCGGGTCGGGCAACAAGCTTGAGACTTGGGGTTGATAGCCACTCTAATCAGCACAAACGTACTCGAATTTCTTGCGGGTGGCTTCTGCTTCTGACTTTGAGTCAGATTCAGGTTCAGAATCTTCCCCCTCGGCGATGTAAGCTCGGGGCGAATCTACGCTGAGTCTGCTACAAATCAACGTGGGGATAAAGGGTCGTTCGTCCAAAACCGGGTAATCAATAAAACAGGAACAACAGAGACTTTCGATGATTACGCCCCTTCTCGTTAGCTGATGCCAAAGACCCATCAGAATGGTGTCTCCCCGCATACCTCTCTCGACAGACTCAGAGAAATTTTTCTGTCTTCTGCCAGGATTCCAAACTAGAAGAAAATATTCTAGAGGATCTCCCTGTCCCTTCAGAGGAATGTTTTCAGACACCTTCTCTGCATCCATATCTGACCGACCTCTTTGAGGCTAAGGGAAAGTCGCTCGAGAAAAAAGTTTGACCAATCCTTCAATTTATTCAAAAGCCGGATTCTGAATTCCATGGGGCCTCTATGTCACCTGTGGCATAACCTTTTGATAAGATCCGCGAGAGGTGAATCCCGATTTAGACATCTTTGAGCTGTTGGAATTGGTAGAGAAAACCACCTGTCTTATCGGTCAGGCTAATGTCTCCATGAATTACAACAGAAGGCTAAACATTCTGGCTAAACTTTCTAAGGATGTCAAGAAGGCTAAACGCCTCATTCTCAAGCATGACACAGCTTTGTCAGAGGCTAAGGGCAGACTCTTCGGAGATGCCTTTTATGACGCCATGCTGAAGGAGGTAAAACGAAGACCAAAGCCAAATTGATATTTGATGCTGAGAGACGCTCAGCTCAGAGACCTACTTTCAGACACCAAGGGCCCAGTCACCCTGATAGACAGCTCCTTTCAGAGATGCCCTCAGGAGGAAGACAATCTGCTGGGGCACATTCCACATCAAGCCCTCCTTCAACAGAGGTTTCAGAGGCAACTCTTCCAGAGGCAGAGGAAGAGCCGGTCAGTCCGGTCGAATCGCAGACTCTCTTATATCAGGTGGGTCAAATGTCAGCAACGCTTCTGTTCCAACAATGCTCCTCCTTCCTCAATGCTACATCTACAGGTTATCCCAGCAATTCTAGAGCTAACCCTGGATCTTCTGTTTTACAAGAAATCCCTCATAGGGGAGTCAGTCTGGTACACTTTTTAAAAAACTGGCAAAGATCACTTCAGATCCATGGATACTTCAGACAGTTTCGGTTTCAGATTCCTCTGTTGTCAAAACCTATTCAGAATCGCGTGTTTCAACCAAAACTAAAGCTCACAAGACAGTTAGCCTTGAGCCAGGAGATCCAATCAATGCTTTGCAAACATGTGATAGAGGTTGTTCCCCAGTCTGCTTCGATGGTCTCGGATCAGTTTCTAAGTCCTATGTTCATGGTTCCCAAGAAGGATGGAGAGCAGAGGCCAATCATAAATCTCAAGGCCCTCAATGCTCACATTCCTTACAAACACTTCAAGTTGGAAGGACTACACCTTCTAAGGGGACTTGATCCATAGAAGGGGACTACCTTTGCAAGCTGGATCTGAAGGATGCTTACTTCAAGCGTCCCAATGGCACCCTCACATGAAAAAGCTACTCCGCTTCTCTTGGAAGGGTGTTCTGTATCAGTTCCGATGCATGCCATTTGGACTTGCCCCAGCTCCAAGAGCATTCACAAAACTTCTTAACCAGTGGTAAGTTTGGCACGGGCGAGCAGGCATCCGCTGATTATATACCTGGACGATATCTTGTGTATAGCTGAATCGCCGAATTCTGCTGAGTCAACACAGGGACACCCTCATCTTCTCCTCCAGTCCCTAGGCTTTGTCATAAACTGGAAGAAATCAGTTCTGTCACCAACCCAGTCGATCACTTTCCTGGGGTTTCAGATAAACACGGTGGATCGTACTCTGATCTTACCAGAGGAGAAGGTAGAGAACATTGTAGCAACTCTGTCGTCACATGATGAGAAAGAAACAGGTAAGATTCTCGACAACTGGCAAGTTTGATAGGAAAACTGTCAGCTTCAATGAGAGCAATCTTACCCGCTTCAACTGCATTGTCGCTACCTGCAGATGCATTGAGCAGGGAGCTTTGGCGTTCTCAGAGTTACGAAGTCAATGATTACACTGCCTTCGGTTTGTCTGGAGGAACTGAAGTGGTGGATGACCAACCTCACCAATTTCAACGGGGAAGCCAATCATGGCAGCTCATCCAGATGTAATTCTCCAGACAGATGCATCAAAAAGGGATGGGGAGCAACACACAGCCAGAGATCAACAGGAGGCCGCTGGTCAGAGATAGAGCAGAGTATGCACATAAATGTTCTAGAGCTGAAGGTAATTCATCTGGCACTCTTGACCTTTTGCAAGGGGATCAAAGATCAATCTATTTTGGTCCAAGTGGACAATCAGACAGCCATGGCTTATGTGAACCGATTTGGGGACAAAATCAGTCAGTCTGTTGCAGATCACAAAGCAGATATGGGGTTTCTGTCTCCAGAACCGCTCTGTTCTTAACAGCAGTCTATCTGCCAGGGGTAGAGAACATTCATGCGGACTGGGAGTCTCGCCACTTCAACGACTCGGCGCATTGGATGCTCAATCCAATCATCTTTGCTCAATGCAACCAGATACTGGGTCCCTTCTCAATGGACCTTTTGCATCGAGACTGACTTTCCAAATGAAGCCGCTTCTGCAGCTGGAGGCCAGACCCCTTGCACAATCAACAGATGCTTTCTAGTGAATTGGAACCAGGGGATTCCTTATGCCTTTCCCCGCTCTCACTGATAGGCAGGTGTCTGTGGAAGATCCGAAAGGACAAAGCGGAGCTGGTCTTAATAACTCCAGTGTGGCAAGGTCAGTCCTGGTATCCACTCCTCTTGGAGATGGCGGTCACAAAGCCAATCCTCCTCCCACAGATGAGGGATCTGTTAAACTCCCCGCAAAACCTGCCTCATCCACTGATAGAAAACAACACTCTGGCACTTGGTATGGAAGGTTTCAGGCGTAGCATCAAGACCAGAGGAATTTCAGAGGCGACTACACAGCTGCTCTCCTGCCAATGGCGACCTGGCACACAAGGCGCTTACAATGCTTCCTGGAATAGGTGGACTGGCTGGTGCAATCAACGGGGTTTTGATCCCTTTTCAGCCTCTGTGGAGTCTATCTTAGACTTTCTCACTCACTTGTACCATGAGAATAGTCAGTACAGGACCATAAATACAGCTAGATCAGCTTTGTCTGCTTTTCACCCCACTATCGAGGGCTATAATGTGGGTCAGCACCCACTGGTCAGGAAATTAATGTCAGGGATGTTTAATCAGAATCCTCCTCAGCCCAGATACTCAGTGGCCTGGGATGTAGATTTGGTGCTGCAATATTTGAAAAAATTGAAAGATAATATCTATTTGTCGGGAAGTTGACAATGCTTCTGATGCTAACCTCTGCTAGCAGGTCTTCACAGTTATCTTCCCTGGATATCAGACACATGGTAGACAGGGGCACTGAAGTAGAATTTACCCTGATTAAACCAACCAAGGTGACTAAGACAGGAACAAAACCTCATCCCTTGAGTTTCAGTGCCTATGAGAAGGACCCTGCACTCTGTGTAGTTCGGATGCCTTAGAGTGTACTTAGAACTATACAGAACCTTGGAGAGATGAATGTAGGTCTGGCCTCTTGAGCTATGTGAAACCCAAGATAAACCGGTTTCATCCCCAAGTATTGCAAGATGGGTGACAAATCTTATGAGCTTTGTATGGTATTGACACTTCACACTACAAAGCTCATTCTGTCAGAGGAGCTAGTGCTTCAAAGGCATTTGCCAAAGGTGCTTCTGTCACAGACATTTTGAAGTTGGGAAACTGACCAAGGCCTCTACTTTCAGAACCTTCTATCTGAGAAATACTATCAGCAGTGGCAACTGCTTGTCAAAGATACTTGACACTACCGGCTTTGAATCCACCAATATCACATCTACTATGTTTGCTTGACATGAAATTGAAATTTCACAAGCACACGAGAGTGTAAAGTGAAATTATAATTTCATTAGTAAACATAGTAGATGTGATATATTCCCTACCCTGTCTCCTGCACCCTGAATTGCCTAGATTGTTGGCATTTCTCAGAGTTATTGCATTGCTAAGATTTAACTTCATTCCAGGAAACGCTTTGAATTTATGTCAATCTTAATGGATTTTAATATTTTACAGTTTTGGATTGATCTGAGTGATTCAACCAAGTCATAGCTGATAATGCTATGCTCTTTACTTGCAGTTGAGTGCTGTGGGTCTGGACCACAGCCGAGCTGGCCAGGAAGAGGAGGGCGCTCCACTGGATGACTTAGTACACTGACCCCATCTAGGGTTTTCCGTTTGAAGTTCAAATTCAATAGATCTGTATGATCTGATTAAATGTTTTTCCTTTACTCTGTGTTCTTTTCTAATTTCGTCCCTTATGAAGAAGGGTTTATGGGTAATTTGCCAATATCACATCTACTATGTTTACTAATGAAATTATAATTTCACTTTACACACTACGTGTGCTTGTGAAATTTCCAATTATAGCTTATAACTTGTATTTTAAGTCATGACCAAATTAAGAGCCTGATGTCAAACTATGGTGACAATATTTATAGTGACAGCTAAATAATTACAAATACACGGATCAGGCTCAATCATGCAGTGACCATTCACGTGATTATGTTCAACTTACATGCTATTTTAAACGTTTTCATGCCAAACATTTGCTAAGATTTAATAACCCTACTGCCACATCAGAAATAGTTCTAGTTAGAATTGGTCTTCAGCAACCCATGCTTGTCGTAAAAGATGGCAAATGGGATCAGGTGGCCAGGCTCGCTGATTTGGTGTACACATGTCATTATAAAAATATATTCCAATTGCGTAGATTGATTTTCATGATTATTTACAGACCGCTACCATATAGCTGGAATATTTCTGAGTACAGTGTTAGACAACAAACAAAAGAAATAGTTCTGAAATTACATTTATGAAAGTAATTACATCAACGGCACTAATTAATTTGTCGTGATGTAGCAATTAAAGGATATTACATTATAAAACCCTAGCAATAACAGTAAGCGGATCAATCGGGTTCAAGGTTGGTAATTTTAATTTCTCACCTCATTGTCGTGCACTCTCAGGTCATTCCTAAACAGGCATATAATGGTTCCTGTTACTGAAGCCATTTTCCTATTCATGAGTTACTCCTGTGGCGGACACTATATGTGTGTTTCTCTCTTCAAGTCAGACTTATATAACCAAAACATCTTGCGCGTGTTAATATTTAGCTCACGACTCTACGCCACAGTGATGCTCAGTGCGGTCTTATTTGGAGGAAGCGCTGGGAACACTGCAAGGAGTTCCATTTGTTGTGTCGCGCTTACGCTCTTGTGTACTCAGAATGTAAATTTGCGTGAGAATGAACCAAGTCTTTCCTCGACAGGTGCCCGATGGGAGGTAACTCTCAGATCGAACTGGTGACAGTTCACAGATCAGACGTGTTTGATATGTCAATAGTGTCACAGTAGGTTCTAATGCAGTGATAAATGTAGAAGCCATATTAAATCTACTTATATTCTTTCCTAATTATAACTACAATGTCCCAAGCAAAATTCACGTCTTATACATTTTTGTCAGTTTTATGAAAAATGAAAGACAAAACATTTCGGGTACTAACATATGTAAGTACTATACCACAGGGGCTAAAAACGCAAATAAAATGAAATGAAATGAAATAAAAAAATTAAATAGTATTAACTTATATACTGTCACTGACTAAATTCTATGATAAGGTTTAAGGGCCCCATTAGTATATTAAAAGAATGTTATCACCATTGTAACATGACAAAATATGTATAACGCAATGAAGATGAAGTTCTCTGGTATTTTTATACATAACTTGTGGTGTACTCTCCAGGTCAATGTTCATAGTATTTGTTCTTAACAATTTACTGCTAAACTCTTTGAAAATTCACAAAGTATAACAACTCAGCATTTTGTAATCTACATGTGCTGTTATCATTATTTTAATCCCTGGCTGACTAATCACAATCAGTTATTTCCCAAAGCTAGCTAGAATGTAATGTAACTAGATTTGAGAAGAAAACAAATAGTTCCTCCAACATTACACTTGTGTCAGAACAATGATAACAAGTAGCTATGTCTTGTCTTCAATCCTGGTGGTGTTGATCACAAACAAAATAAACTTCATTCATTTATTCCTTTGAATACAATATTGCACATCTCCTATACAAATGAAATACATCAATGACAATTAGACCCTAACTATCAAAAATTAGTTATAACCAAACATATTACATGAACATAGTTTCTGTTATAATTCATAAAAAAGGCTGACACAGAAATAATGAACAAACATCGTCAGATATATAAATACATGTATATTTTATATATATTCTGAACTTTTCAAGATTTGTACACCAAACATGGTAATAACTAACAATGTTATTAGTACATACTGTAGTAAAACACATATATAGCAACAAGGAGAGAAATATAGAGTGAAACAAGCTGTAACGAGGCGTTGTGCAAAATCCATTCTTCTTCCAAATTTGATTGATGAGTTTGACGGAGACTGATAGGAGTAGAGTATCCCTGGTTTGATAGATGATTTAATACCTGTGTTAGATAGATTTAACCATAGGGTCTCATCTGAGGCACAGAGGGTCAGAAAATCGATAACTAAGCCCTGCTACTATCCAGCTTTCCAGCTCCACACCCCTCCCCCCCATATTATATAGCAGGGGTGCTGGATAGTACACTGGGGCTTAGTTTATCGATTTTCTGACCCGCAATGAGGGCCTATGTAATTAACTGGCTTACAAATGATTTAATAATGCATTTGCAGTGTCATCACACATTTACTAGGCCCCAAACATGGATATCACAGTCTAGGTTTGGTTTTCCAGGTCCACCTCTCTACTACCGGATGTGGAGAGGACATCACCATAAGAGTTCCAAATCTTGTAGTCTGTAGACAAATATTCTCTCACTGGAAACAAAAAAACATATAGTATAACTTTTGGCACTTCAAATTGTATTTCAGTACATTGATACCCAGTGACTTTTGTGATACAGATACACAGTGACTGTAGCGATACATTGTGATACACAGAGACTATTGAAATACACAATAACCATTGAATATTGTGATACACAGATCCACATTGACTGTACTGTGATACACAGTGACTATTGCAATACACAGTACCCATTGAATATTGTGATACACAGATCCACATTGACTGTACTGTGATCCACAGTGACTATTGCAATACACAGTACCCATTGAATATTGTGATACAAGATGACATGGCTCAAGCTTTTCGACACAACTGTTGCCTCTGCGAACTTGATTGTGTTCCATATTCCTCCGGAGTGCTTCGCATTTCACTCTCATGGTTCAATCTTGTTACAGTAAGAGGTACATTAAAGCAAGAAGTATGCTTTGATACCTAACACATCACATGCATATGTTTCTGTTTTACTCTGCACACCTAGATATAAAACATGAATAGATGAGTTGTTGAGGTATGTATGGAATGAGACATTAGTACTGCCTACCTGTGGTGAGCTTGAACTTGGCACTTGGAGATACCTGTATGGACCGGGGATCAATGCAGCACCCGACTGAGTGAAGTCAGGGATCTTGAAGTAAAGCTGTCAAGAAACAATACTGAGAATTCATAGTCTTCCCAACAGGATGTGCCTTGGTAGCAGTAATGTAAGACAGTGTTGCCCTTAGGTAGTGATTTTCTAGATTTATTGTGGCAATGTTAAGCTCATCGCTCCAACACACACCCTGACCAATATCTACACTATTCTGCAAGAAATCTTTATAAGTAGGCCCTACAAAAAGCCCAACTTATTATGATAGTCCACATTTGTTTCCCAGAAAATAGCAATGCAATTCATAAATGACATTCTCTATGTTTTGTGAGGATGAGCATGAGGAGAGGTTAGACATGGTATATAAATGTGACATACCTGTCCAAAAGAGACTACAGTAGAATACTTTTATAACAAACACGGATATAACGAACTGACGGCTATAGGGAACTGTTTTAAAAGTCCCGAATAAACCTTATATTATCATATAAAAAAGTGAATAGCAAACTACGGATGTAATGAACTAATTTTAGTGGTCCCTTGGAGTTTGTTATAAAGGTATTTTACTGTATGTCATCTGCCCAAATAACATGGTGGCAAGGAGGTTGAATGAAATCTCTAGATGGCACTTACTTGTACATAAAAGTCTATGTCTCCTGTGTGAGAATAACATTGTGGAGAGTTTATTGACAAGATCTATAGATGGAACTTACCTGTGCATAAGAGGTTTGCCCAGAACAGAACTTGTCTTCTGGTGCAGATGGAGAGATGACGGGTCCAGAGAACTGGAGGTTTGCAGACATTGTCACCTCCAGGGTCTTGCTGGGGAACTTCTGACCTGGGGCACAGCATGGGTAGGATTACATTGGGCTCAAGAACAAGTGTAATACAAGTGAACCAATTCACAAAACTTTACTACTTTGCAGTAATATATGGCCCAGGAAATTAGAAAATTAACAAAGGGAGTAAATAGTTAACATCATACACAGGTTAGTTTTGTTGTCTGAGGTTGGGTTGTAGAAACAGACATCAAACATATGAAACTACTATTTCAATTAGTTACTAGGCAGGTATATGCTCCTTCTTCACATCTTCAGTTTTTATAAAAGATCTGAAATACAAACAAAATTACAGACTGTGATGTAATTTAACCAAACCTGAAGAGGTTTTCAATTCTTCGAAGAGAGTCGTCCTTGGGGTACATATTATGCATTTTCCACGCTGAAAATGTCCTGTGACAGTTGTATCAATGTTTTTGAATAAAAAGATTGTACAATAAATAAACTTTTTTATTTATTATACGGCCCCCACCTGAGTTGGAGTTACCCCGTTAGCATGCGCACTCAACTGGGTAATCACCTAGGCCCGTATCATCATTCCTTCTGCTTAATAAATCAGTGAACAGAATTGCGAGGCTGGGAGGCCCTACCCAAGGATCGACTCTCTTCAAGAATTGAAAACCTCTTCAGGTTTGGTTAATTCTTCTTCATAGAGATCATCCTTGGGGTACATATTATGCATAAACACAGACTCCCAAAGACCGGAGGCCAGGGAGGAGGAATTCTGTCCAAGCACATACAAATAGCTATCGTTAATTGAATAATGTAACAGACGCCATAACACTCACCTGTCACATGTCCTAGATTTCGCTTCCGCCAGAGACATTATGGGAGGGGAACTGACAGGGAGGATTGTACTCAAAGACGACCTCAGAGGTTCGCAAAGAAATTCGCACATGGTGCGAAAGGCAAACAAAGCCCCACCCACCTTGTGTTGATTAGTGAGCACCGTAGGGGGGAATGTCAAAACGCTCACAACCAACCTAAATACTCCGTAGAGGATCGAAATGAGGTTATTTAGCTCCCAGAAGCGAATATGTCAATAAAACTCAGTATTGAACAGCAGCGTCAACCAAACCAATGAACCAAGACTCACTCGGTCAGGGTGGCAGGACACTGTCCACTGGAGAGAACAGAACGGCCAAAACTCGCACGATTACGGGAATGCGTATCGAGCTGATAATGCCGAATAAACGTGCTAGGCCGGCTCCAAATAGCGGCAGAGCAGATGCAAAAGCTTTTGATGCGGCTACTGCCCTGACCGAGTGAGCCTTCAACCCCTCAGGGGGAGGCTTGCCCTTAGCCTGATAAGCAGCACAAATACACGAAACTAGCCAGCGAGACAAAGTCTGCTTGCTCGCCCACACCAGCCTTCCTTCGCCACCGTAACAACAGAACAGCTGGGTACCGTGACGATTCCCTGCGTTCGCTTTGAGATAGACCTTGAGTGTCTTACGGACATCCAAAGGGTGAGTGCTCGTTGCAGAGGTCACCGATGTGGAAGGCTGGGTAAGAGTGGAAGTTCGATAGGAGCTGTCACATGGAAAGCGGATCGACCTTCGGCTGATGCACGTATCCGAGGCCGAATACTGACACGATCAGTGTGAAACACAGTCAGCGCCCGGGTCGGACGACATAGCATGTAAATCGCCGACCCTACGCCCAGATGTTACCGCCACCAGAAAAACAGCCTTCCAAGTTAACAACTGAATGGAAATAGCCGATAGGTGTGAGAAAGTGGGACCGACAGCCAATCGAGCACAATTGACAAATCCCAAAGGTGGGCTGGTTCGCCTGACAGCAGGTCGAACCCGATCGCGCGCCAGCTAAAAGCTGTACAAGAGGGTGCTGCCCCAGAAGAGCACCATCGACAGGGGGTGTGAAAAGTGGAAATAGCGGTGGAGTAGCCACGAATGGTCGGCCGCCAGGCCTTCTTCCAAACGGGCTTGCAAAACTCCAATACTCGGACTAAATCCGCAGAAAAGGGATCTGCAATCCCCCTATCTGAACACCAGCGCGCATAGCGGGACCACCTATCCTCATACTGAACGTTTGTCGAATCCCCCCTCAAAGCCAGAATTGTGTCTGCAACTGCCGCAGGAATTCCGCATGCCTCGAGGATAGACCTGACAGAGGCCAAGCCACCCACTGAATCCTTGGATTGGGGTGGGGCGCTCCGTTCTGAGTGAGAATGTCCGGTCGTAAAGGTAAGAGAACAGGAGGCTGAGCCAGAAACCTGAGAATTACCCGAAACCAGCTCTGTGACAGCCAAAGCAGTGCCAGTAGCACAAGCAGCCGAGCTGGCTGGGTGGACAGCTGTGAAAGGACACGGGGAATGAGTGGTAACGGCAGGAACGCCCAGAGCACTTTGCCCGTCCAATCCAGCAGGAAGGCGTCGGCAGCCAACGCTCTCGGGTCCGGTATTCGAGAGCAGAACACGGGTGTCTGATTTGTCCTGCCGGACGCAAACAGATCCACCTGGAACGACCCGTACAACTGGGAGATAACTCCGAATATCTGCCGGTCGAGCATCCACTGTCGCGGGGTCAGGATCCGCGAGAGAGAGCGTCTGCTCGCGACGCTCTCCAGCCCGGAGATAAACAGGGAGTACCTGACAATCGCGCACTGGTCGCGACCAGAGGAGAAAGTCCCATGTCTCCCGGAGGAGTGCTCGGGACACCGCGTGCCGCCTTGCTTCAGGATGGACGACATGGCCGTCCTGGTTGTCCAACTGAAGACGAACCACCTGGCCCTGGACATGCTCGAAGGGCCGAAAACCGCATTGCAGCTCTCAGTTCCAACACGTTGATGTGAAGGTGGGCTTCGGCTTCGGACCAGAGTCCGGACACCGACAGACTGCCCAGAACACCCCCCCAGCCCGTGAGGGACGCATCGGTCTGAACTGTAAGAGCTGGCGTCGGGATTTCCAAGGGCATCCCCCTGGTGAGATTCCCGACATTGGTCCACAACTGAAGGTGAGGTGTCAACCACCCGGGGACTGTGAGACTCCGCTCCAGGTCCTCCGAGTGAGCCCACAGACTCGCCAAAGCTTGCTGTATAGGGCGCATCCTCAACCGTGCCCGCCACAATACAGAGATCATATGGCCAGTAGACGGAGCCAAGTCCGTGCTGGTGCCTGGGGCTGGGAGAAGAACGAAGACACCATCTCCCGTACTCTGGTGACCCGGTCAGGTGACAAGGAAACGAGACCCTTGTGTGTTTGGAACCTCGCCCCGAGAAAAACCAAGTCCTGGGTGGGTACCAGGTCGGATTTCTTGAGGTTGATGATCCACCCCAGTTGAACTAGAATGTCTATCACCGTGTGAGTAGCATCAAGGTCGCTGGCTGTGTTAGTGTGCCGAGCAACCAGTCGTCGAGGTAAGGGTAACAACGCCTTCCTTATGCGGCGGCGAGGGTAGCCGGACTAACATGAGCTTGGTGAACACCCTTGGGGCAGTGGATATGCCAAAGGGGAGCACCGCGAATTGGTAACACATCCCGTCGTAAGAGAACCGGAAGGTACTGCTTGAACGATGGATGTATGGGCACATGCAGATATCGCGATCCTTGAGGTCGATCGACGTGAGCCAATCGCCCGGGCTGAACAGAGGAGATCACTGAGCGCAGTGTCTCCATCTTGAAGGACGGAACTGAAAGCATGCGCGATTCAACCCCTTGAGGTTGAGAATGGGGCGGAACCCGCCATCTTTCTTCTTCGCGAGGAAGTACCTGGAGTAAAATCCCCGCCTGTTCCTGCGCCGGTGGTATGCGCCGACATGGACTTGTCCAGCAAAGCCTGAACTTCGTCATGCAATATGTCTGCCCTTGCCTGACATGGCTGGCACCGAGTGCAGCATATGCCGGTGAAGTCGGGCGGACCTCGCTTCCACAGTGGTAAATGGCCGACACTGACGGTGGACAGCACCAAGTGTTGTTTGTAGCCTTCTCCCACTCCGGCAGGAATAGAGAGAGCGGCCTCCCACTGGGGCGTTGGGTAGAGCGCGTCGTGGTCCCCGAAAGTAGCGGAGCTGACTGGGAAGGACACACGGTTGGGTCTACAGCCTGGTGGGTTAACGAGAGGTCGGGGCAGACCTCCCGCGCCCGCGAAAAGGCTGGGAGCTTGTCGAAGAGGACTGCTCTTTGCCCTTACCCTTGGCGGACCGGTTCCTCCGCCTACCTCTGCCAAGCGGCGAAGCCAGCCAGCGGACTCGGTGTAGGCTGCACCCGGCGGAGGAAGGTGGAACGGGCGCTGGGCTTGGTGAAGCCAGCGCTGGTGCTCCAACAAGGCCTTAGAACCTTGAAGGAGGTAGCTGCAGCGGCAGCCTCCAGTATGACCTGCTGGGCCCCAGGAAACAGCGCCGCTCCCAGATGGTAGGGAAGGGCCAGCAAGGTCTGCTGTGTAGCTGCCGAGTACCGAGGACGCCGACAGCCACAGCTTCATGCATCGCCATGACTGCGCGCACATCACCGTCGACACAGCTGACCGTACCGTGAAGGAGTCGAGGGTGTGCCTGGACCCGGATAACTGGCCGAGTAGCGACATGCGGAGCGTCTCCAGCATGCCCTCCGCCCTCAGGGCCGACCTCTGGATCGAGGAGAGGTAGGCCTCATGGACCACAACCCGCACCTGCTGCATTGCGTTTCGGTAGACCTCCTCGTAGGTCCGCTACGCATGCCGCAGGGGGCGCCAGCGAGGGCAAACGGTGGTGTTAAATGCCCTTGCCGAGCAGCCGGAGCTGCTCCGGAGGAAGCCGAGCCTCCCCACAAGGCGACCCAAGTAAACACGCACTCATCCGCCATTGGAACAGCGAACAGGGAATCCTCCCCCAGCTGGTACCTCCGGACAAGCTCAGGCAAGTCGAAATGGAGGCGAGACCCAGACAGGAGGGGATCGACCACGTCCTGGACCAACGACGGCAGAATACGGAGCTGCGTCTGCGTAGGCTGCCAAGGGGCAAACGCCTCGCCTGGCAGGCGGAACTCAGACGAGTCCGAGCGGCTGGCAGGCGTCGGCGTTGCCGGACCTCCCGCAAAGCCGACGAAAATTGGAAGGCACCCCCCCTCTTCTCAACCTCCCCAGTATCCATGGACTAGGCGCCCGAGCCCGAGTCCGAGGCTGGGTCTCCTCGCGAAGAGGACCCGAACCCCGACCTGGTGGGCGGCCTAGCACCAGGCACAGAAGAGAGGGAGGGGCAGCCGAGGCGTCCGGACCCGAAGCCAGAGGCAACGGATCGACAGACGCCTCCAGGCGGAGGGATCGAGCCGGGCTCGGCGATCCAACCCCCAGACTCTCCGCCCCTTGCTCCAGGTGGGCGAGGAACTCCTGGCGGAGACCTCCAACCGACCCGTGAACAAGGGACTTCACGGAGTCCCTGTGCTGCTGGAATAACTGAGTAATGATAGACATATCAAAACCACTACTAGGAGCGGGAGAAGGCGACTGGCTTCGCGACTTTTTGCCTTTACTGCGAGGCTTTTTCGCTTTGGACGGGGGGACCTGGGTCAATTCCCCTCCCGCCTCACGCATCTCTCTATAGAAGAGAAAATCCGCCGCCCTTCTCTTCTGGGCCCGGGGGGAAAAACCCATGCAAATCTCACAGGTTTCTGAGATATGGTCAGATGCATTTATCATGGCGGTCGGCCCTGGGTATGCTTTGCCCACAGACCGAACAGGAGGAAAACGCCTGAAAGCAAACACGCAAGCATGTAGCTAACAGCGGACCAGCAGCTAAGATACACGTAGAAAACATTGAAAAATACGTGAAGGCTACCACAGGAAGAAATAGTTGGTTCAATACGCAATATTACAACCACGTGGCACGCTAAACTTCCCGCCATGGCAGAGCAACATGTGCGTAAACCACAGGAAAGTGAGCGTAAAATAATTAATACAAAGTCACAATTATGAAACAACCGACCGCGAAGCTTTACAGTTCCTTTCAAGGACAAATAAAGACCATACATACAGGTGGTGTCGTCTCAGACATAGTTCTCTTGAGTTCTCTATTTGAAGAGTACAGCTGCTCTACATTACCGTCTACACACGTGGTGACAGCAGAAGGAATGATGATACGGGCCTAGGTGATTACCCAGTTGGTGTGCATGCACAACGGGAGGTAACTCCACGAGGTGGGGGCCGTATAATAAATAAAAAAGTTTATTTATTGTACAATCTTTTTATTCAAAAACATTGATACAACTGTCACAGGACATTTTCAGTGTGGAAAATGCATAATATGTACCCCAAGGACGATCTCTATGAAGAAGAATTGGGGGATTAGAATGTGACACTTGTAGCAATTAAGGCTGCTGCATCTCCATGGTACTGTAAGACTCGAGTCTTAAAATCAGCACCACAGACTGTGAACTTATTCTGCATTGCTATCATGCTGAGGCAGTGAGACAAGGGTGTGTGCCCTGCATCCACACTGAGGTTGTAAACTCAGGTGTTAAACAAGCATGACTGACTGTGAACCTATTCGGCTTGCATCCACACTGAGGTTGTAAACTCAGGTGTTAAACAAGCATGACTGACTGTGAACCTATTAAACACTGAGATTGTAAACGCAGTTGTTAAACAAGCGTGGTGGATTATGAACCTACTTTACCCTACACTCACACTGCGGCTGTCTGCTGTAACATAATGAAGCTGTAACAGTTCAACTCTTACCAACATTCCACACCAGGATCGTTTTACTAGGTGACAGCGACACGCTGCCCTGAGAAGGCGAGGAGTCATGCATCGATATACTCCCTCTGTAACAAGAGAGACTCTTCATCAACACTGTTTTCAGAATGACATATCCTACATGATGGTTCATAATACTAAGCAACAGGGCTGGTTAAAAAAATCAATAATCGAAAGTATCGTTGATGGGAAGAATTATTGAAGATTATTTTATATGAAAATTGTCATCGACAATATAGTACATAAACTATTGTGATGAAAAATAGTGCGCCCACACAATTACACAAACCTATGTCTATATTTAAGGGTTGCTTCTAAATGACGTTCAGGACGCTGTTTTGTTAGAAATCCAAGCATTAACATGTCACCACTCACCAGTGATGATAATATGATGATTTCTTTCAGACTTTTTAAATTTTTTGCCCTAAGTTACCTCTGTGATTTTTATCAATAACTGATTGATATTTAGTTAACGATTATCGATCTCTGTGATCTATATCAATAGCCTACTAAGCAGTGACAATGTTCACCTCAAATTCCAAGGTTTTCCGCTGTGTGGAGTAGCCTAACTGTAAAGTGTCTGCTCGTCACGCTGAAGACCGGGGTTTGATTCCCCACATGGGTACAATGAATGAAGCCCAATTCTAGTGTTCTCTGCTGTGAAATTGCTGGAATATTGCCAAGAGGCATAAAACCATACTCACTCACTCAGGTATTCAAAAGTTTGATGTAGATATTGCTCCACAGAGATCAGCTAGATTTATACATACATGGGTGATTATTATCCTGAATGTAGTACTAAGCTGTATCTCACCTGTTAAAGAAAGAAATCTGCACCTCACAGTACTCAAACATGTTCTTCACTTGGTTGCTGAGTTTCAGTTTGACAGTGAGGTTGGCAATCTTAGCGTCACACTGTCAACAGTAAACACACATTGAAATGTACAGAGGTGAGGTGAGGTGAAATTGGGTTTGATGTCGTACCTGAGAATATTTCGCTCATATGACGACGTGCATGCGTGTGTATGTGTATGTGCGGCTGCTTGTACTAGCCCAGACTTAATCTGGTTTTATAGTGCTAGCTCACTGAGATACTATGCAGCAGTGAAGCATGAATACCCCACTCAGACACATTATACTGACTCCGAGCCGACCAGTCCTTGTTGTACCCATTAATGCCGCCAGACAGAGACCAACAAGTACCATGTTTTAATGTCTTTTGGTATGACGCGGTCGGAGATCGAACCCGAGACCTTCCGCTCTCCGGGCGGACGCTCTAACCACTACACCACAGAGGCGGTCAAATGTACAGAGCAGTATAGTTCACATAATAATGATAACAATAATAAATTGTCTGAACAGTGATTATCCTATTCTTAAAAATAACTGTAACAACTTACAATTTGGGAGATGTTTAACAATTTGCAAATGTTTACTCATCATGAGTGAATGTTGTTTACACACATCTCAGTCACCAAAATAACAATAGCATAGTAGTCTGTACAGAGCTGGACCAGTCACACCATTTGTTTACTGCATTCTATTCAAAATACTGGGGCGTTGGGGTAGCCTGGTGGTTATAGCGTTCATTTGTTACACCGAGGCCAGGTTCGTTTCCCAAGATGGATACAATGTGTGACTCTGATTTCTGGTGTCCTCTGCCACGATGACCGCTGCCATATAGCTGGAATATTGCTGAGTGAGGCGTGAAACTAAACTCACTCACTCACTCACTCTGCCACGATATTACTGAATACTGCTAAAAATTGCGTAAAACCGAACTCACTCACACACTCTTTCTAACTGCTGGGGTACAATGACACACTCAGGTAGGTTACCGCCTGGTCCCCATTTTAGTCATAACTTAAAACAAAAACAATTTCCATATTCAAGGCATTACTCAAAATCATAGCTGAATGTGGTCTCGCTTTGAAAGGATCATGAACCTGAGTCAACAAAGGCAAGAATTTAACTTCTCTATTATGTCACAAGATCAACTGAGTCAACAAAGCGTGGTTAGATTAGGTACAACATGACCAGCCTCACTTTCATCTGGTAGACACCAAATATGGGCAGCTCCTGTAGTCCGGACACAGAGTACTGACACAGGGTGAACATCTCCGTTGGGGGCATGAAGCGGAGGCGGCGAGGGAGAGGATGGGACTGGGTCATGCTCGCTGGAACAAGACATCAGAAAACATTTTGGTCCTTCCTCACAAACTGTCATGCCATATTTACAGATGAATTTCAGACTAACTGCTATGGATGAATAATTTTAAACTGAGAAGCATGTTGTGTTTAAATATTTGAAACAAGGCTGTAACAAACAGCATGGTGACTGTTTCAGACTCTCCACTCAGCAATATTCCAGCTATATGGTGGCGGTCTGTAAACAATCTAGTCTGAAAAAGACAATCCAGTGACCAACATCATGAGCATCGATCTATGCAATTGGGATATGTGTCAACCAAATCAGTGAACCTGACCACCCAATCCCGTTAATCGCCTCTTATGACAAGCATGGGTTACTGACGACTAATTCTAACTAGACTCTACACTGACCTGAATCAACAATCCCCGAGTCAGCACTCTGGACACATGGGTGTATAAGCAAGTGATCAAGGGCAACACTGTCCCCATCACTCTGGTGCGACACGTTCAGTGTTATGTCCGACAGAGCACCCTCTAGGTCAGCGCGACATGATATGGAGCCGTACACATCCCATGAGTCATTTGTTTCCCCTTGCTCACACTGAAATATAAATACAGTAAATTGACCACAAATTCATTTTAAACCATAGTTTGTTGTACACATTTCGACAAAAACATACAGCAAGGGCAAACACATACCTACTCAAAACAATGAGTAAGAGACTGAGTGGTTTTTTTTCCAATTTTAACAATTTTCCAGCACTATCATTGTATCAATTTTCGGTGGCACACTCAAATTTGAAAACATGAACCTGGGCTTTCAACATGAAGAACAAACACTAAGTAAGAGATTCAGAATAAAACACTATTCATTCCTCAGTAGGACAGATAACCTTTCTTGTCCAGGGAAATAACATGGAGCAAGACTTACCTGAGATGCCTTAATGCATTCTGATACTGAAAGGTAGATAATTCCTTTTCCCTTGTTGAGAAGAGGTTTCCAAGCTGGTTGCTGAACAAAGAGAGTGAGTTGGGTGAGGTGAGGTGAGGTGAAATTGGGTTTTACTGAAGCTGGTTTTATAGTGCTAGCCCACTGAGATACCATGCTGCAGTGAAGCATGAATACCCCACTCAGACACATTATACTGACTCCGAGCCGACCAGTCCTTGTTGTACCCATTAATGCCGTGCACCAAGCAGGGACCAACAAGTACCATATTTTAACGTCTTTTGGTATGACGCGGTCGGGGATTGAACCCACGACCTTCCGCTCTCCGGGCGGACGCTCTAACCAAAGTGAGTTGGGTAACATGAAGAAGCAATAGCACCTTATCACAGCAAGGGAACACATGTCAATGTTTCCCAAATTGTGTAAATCAACGCTCATGCTGTTGATCACTAGATTGTCTGGTCCAGATTCAATTATTTACAGACCGCCACCATATAGCTGGAATATTGCTGAGTGCGGCATCCAATTTTGATTCGAAGCAATGAACCCTGTTAGACATATTAGTTTGATGATACCCCCTTTGGGGTATTAGATGCAATGTTCTGTTAATGACAAGCTGTATAAAATATGCACATAAATAAATAGCACCTCTATACTGTCTACTTTTAAAACTAGATGTTTTTTTTTTTGTCTGTTTTTTTGGGGGGGAGGGGGGTAGATGCAGAAATCAGCTTTTTGAAAGCTTCACGCACTCATACTGGAGGGGCGCAGTGGGCGAGCTGGCTAAGGCGCCAGGCTAGTGATCAAGGGAGGTTCAGGTGTCGGGATCGAGCCCATCTGTGACCAGGTGTAAAATCCTTGGAGTCAACTTTGTGTGCAGACTCTTTCAGTGTTGTCACAACCCCTAGTGTACAGTACACAATCATGTGCACTTAAAAGGACCCACGATTCCATTGGTATATGACCAGATGGTGGCCACATGAATACGTGCAAACACCTAGTTGTGGGTACTGCAACATGCAGTAAACTTGGACAAGGTACTGTGACTATGTGTCCCAGTCCACCCAGCTGTGAATGGGTACCTTGTCAGGATGAGAAAGCTACAATAACTTGGTGCAACTTGTGACTGCAAGAGCTGTATGCTCCCCGGGGAGTTGAGATTGATAATATGATGTGCCGTTGAGATTGACATCCAATGATCGAGGAAAAAACATAACATCGCCTTGAGCATGTACTAGTTTCGTAGATATGTGCACTTTATAAATATCCTAATAATATATACTGATTTAAAAGTTCACCTGATGCACCCTCCCATAATAGGAATGTACCTTCTGTGACTTGGGCAGGGTAATGGGTCTCCCTGCTAACTTGGCCACTATAGATTCACAGCATGTGTCTCTCGGTGCTCCGAAGGGCGCTGCTTCATTCAGGAAGTTGTGGAGTTCCGTCAGCCGGGCAGGAAGCTGGAGGAGAGATGCGTGAGTGAGATGGGTTCAACACAGCTTTAAACACTATTTCAGATACTGCAGTCTATCAAATAAATGTGGGAGACGACCCCAAAATGAGCCCTGTTGAAGACATTTGTCACTTGTATCCAAGTTGTGCCAAATGTTGTGGCATTTAAGTCAATTAACCAAATGTTGTGGCCTTTCAGTAAACCAACCAAATGTTGTGGCCTTTCAGTCAACCGACCAAATGTTGTGGCCTGTCAGTCAACCAACCAAATGTTGTGGCCTTTCAGTCAACCAACCACATGTTGTGGCCTTTTAGTCAACCAACCAAATGTTGTGGCGTTTCAGTCAATCGACCAAATGTTGTGGCCTTTTAGTCAATCAACCAAATGTTGTGGCCTTTCAGTCAACCAACCAAATGTTGTGGCCTTTCAATCAACCAACCAAATGTTGTGGCCTTTCAGTCAACCAACGAACTGTTGCAGCCTTTCAGTCAACCAACCAAATGTTGTGGCCTTTCAGTCAACCAACCAAATGTCCCCGCCCCGTGATATTGCTTTCCAAACTCACTCACTCACTCACTTTCAGTCAACTAGCCAAATGTTGCGGCCTTTCAATCAACCAACCAAATGTTGTGGTCTTTCAGTCAACCAACGAACTGTTGCAGCCTTTCAGTCAACGGGCGGTGGGGTAGCCTAGTGGTTAAGTCGTTCGCTCATCACGCCGAAGACCCGGGTACAATGTGTTAAGCCCATTTCTGGTGTCCCCCGCCGTGATATTGCTGGAATATTGCTAAAAGCGGCGTAAAACCAAACTCACTCACTCACTCACTTTCAGTCAACTAGCCAAATGTTGCGGCCTTTCAATCAACCAACCAAATGTTGTGGTCTTTCAGTCAACCAACGAACTGTTGCAGCCTTTCAGTCAACGGGCGGTGGGGTAGCCTAGTGGTTAATGACCCGGTACAATGTGTTAAGCCCATTTCTGGTGTCCCCCGCCGTGATATTGCTGGAATATTGCTAAAAGCGGCGTAAAACCAAACTCACTCACTCACTCACTTTCAGTCAACTAGCCAAATGTTGCGGCCTTTCAATCAACCAACCAAATGTTGTGGTCTTTCAGTCAACCAACGAACTGTTGCAGCCTTTCAGTCAACGGGCGGTCCAGTGGTTATATGCCAACCAAATGTTGCCCATTTCTGGCCCCGCCCGTGATATTGCTGGAATATTGCAAAAGCCAAACCAAACTCACTCACTCACTCACTTTCAGTCAACTAGCCAAATGTTGCGGCCTTTCAATCAACCAACCAAATGTTGTGGCCTTTCAGTCAACCAATGAACTGTTGCAGCCTTTCAATCCACCAACCAAATGTTGTGGCCTTTCAATCCACCAACCAAATGTTGTGGCCTTTCAATCAACCAACCAAACATTGTGGCCTTTCAGTCAACCAACGAACTGTTGCGGCCTTACAGTCAACCAGCAAACTGCTGTGTTGTTTCTGTAAGCCTGACCTACCTCCTGACTGGTGACCGACCGAATGTACTCTGCTACACCACACATCAGGGAGAAGCCGAGCGACACAGATGGGCTGAAATAGTAGGGAAGGAGTTTTAACACCACAATCCTACAAATCTTCCACTATCCCATCTTTTTTATATCTTCTCTCTAGGGTTCCCATAGCTAATCAGTGGACTGTCATACATGTTATTAATGTACTTTGCTGTACAGATATGTTTGAGTGTTATATTATACACACCTTTGGGCAATATGTTACTCAGAGCATTCAACCAATTTAAATGAGGCATGGGGAACCTATTAGGATCCAGAAAGCAGGTCAACACATCTACCATGTTCATCAAAACTATAGGTTTGAGTATTGGTGCCTGCAGACCAAGAATCATGTTAGAGGTAAATCTGGAATTCAAACTCAAGATCAGCAGATCCTGGTACATGTAAGCATCACATTGGGAAACAAGTGTCCTCTTTGAATCACTTACATTTCTATGATGTTTGGTCTGAGATGGGCTCCCTGTGGTACGTGCACCAGGCAGCAGTACAACAAACCTTGCTGCAAAGCACAAACTTACTTTCAAATACTAGTGGTGGTCCGATTAATTGAAATAATCGAAGATTGGTCGTAGTGACTAAACGACCAAGCAATCGATCATGTTTTCTCATAATCAAACACAAACAATTCTGGAACACTTGTTTTCATTAACAGTATTTTTCACTAGGTTGGTTTTGTCTGTTACATTTCATAAGCACTACAAGCTCATTCCAAGTCATGATTGAATTTATCTTAAAGACTCTAAGATATTCATGTTCCTAACATGATAGTCATCCTTTAAAGAACTACATGTTTTTTCCCGTATTTTTTTGTGTATTAACAAATTTCATAAATGGCGCACACCAATTATTTTCGATGATTGATCGGTGGTAATGAACCAATCATCAATTATGAGATTTTAACCAATTCCCAACACTATCAAATACACATTTAAAGACACAATGTCACGCTTTTTCGACAATACTTTGGTCTATAATATATATATTGGGGCATATGCACTCACTTTAGCTTCCAATTGATACAATAAAAGACTTATTATCCCTTACAACTTGCCTGAAATTGATAATTGAAACTTTGAGGCGAACAGTTTCCAAACAGATATATGGAATGAAAACGATTACTCTGTACATTGAAAACTGTCACATGCGGTGTTGTTGGTGTTTGCCAAAATGGCCTCAATCACAAGTTGTGTTATAGGATATTCGTAAAGAGCATTCCTAGGGACATAACTCTATGAGGTTCGCTTGAAATAAAGTTTGGTCGGTAGAGGGTGCGAGAGTTGATTTAATGCAATGTTACATTAATTCATTCGAACTTTTTAATTTCATATTGTAGTCTTAATATGTAATTTTTTTCTGAGTAAATTACATGGTAGCTTCCCTGGGGGGCTGATAGTTAGTATTAATGAGAAAATACAATACTGATTTTCAGAGAAGTGTGCGTTTAACAAATGCTCTTATGCAATACAATGTTTTGACAAAAGTGTTTCTTCTTAAACCAGAGACCATATAATATATGGTCTCTGCTCAAACTGGACACAAAAGGTTTCCATACTACAAATAAAGACCATCTAAAATCTTTCTTATTTAGTTCTATTCAATTCAGAACAACAAAAACATCAAAGTTTTACTTTTGAACAAACATCTTCTTGGAGAAATGATTATGTTATCACAAACCTGTTCAATGACGATAAAGGGCCAGATTTTACCGCTACTGGTGTCCACTTCAAACACTGGTTTCTCATCCTGCTTTGAGCATTGATCTCTGCTGCCAACAAACTATAGGAAAATATGAAAATTGCTTGATCCTCATCAGCTCATTGATTTGCTTTTCCTAACTTGAATAAAACAAAATACCAAACTTATATACAACCTGATTACATTGATATGAATAAGTATTTTACATGTATATATGTATATGTGTGTGTGTGTGTGTGTGTGTGTGTGTGTGTGTTCATGCGTACGTAAAATAAGCAAAGGATTATAAATTTCTTGATGATCAACACCTTTCATGTCATGCATGATGACAGTAGTTTGTTTAATGCCGCACTCAGCAATATTCCAGCTATATGGCAGCGGTCTGTAAATAATCAAGTCTGGACCAGACAGCCAAGTGATCAACAGCATGAGCATCAATCTATGCAATTATTATAGAGTCTTATTGATTTACAGAACTGGTTAATTAGAACTATTAATCTAAGATGGCAATTCCAGTGAGTGCTGAAACAGCCACTAGAGACTCAATTTGAACACTAATTATTGTCCAATACCTCGCTTGATGTATGCGACAGTCCTGTCTCAACAAGCAGCTGTTGCAAAAACTGTGGGGAGTTGGGAATGGCAATATAGTTTGAACCTTCTACTTGTTTCGTCTTTTTCTCAACAGTTGGAAATTTTCTGAAACATTAATTAATTCACATTTAAACAAACTTGCAAAAATAATACGAATAAGCACCAAAACATTTAAAACTGTCATTTAAAAAGGCTCAGATCGAAAGACACCTGCGAGTTACTGTAAAGGTGAATCAATGTTTATCATTTTTTACTGTCGCGAAGAGTTGAAAAGTGGTCCGTGGATTCCATGCATTCAACACATTATCATCACAGATCATAACACAATATATTGTTAAATCGGAAGCGTCAAAAAATCTTCTGCGAAATTGCAGTTCCCTAAATTTTCAGATACCTGAAGAATAAATTCTTTGGGGATTTATTATTGGTGGAGGGTAGTTTAACTACCCATAACGCTCGTATACTCATGGGGATTCGGATGTTTATGAGACTGTCAACAAATATATATGTTTCGAACACATGACTGAAAATCCGGAAATGACCACGACCCGGAAGTGTTTAAAATATTTGCTGAGCCAGCAGTATGGTTTCGTATATTGTATGGCTGATGATCGTATCAAAACCCAGACGCAATAAAATATGTAATTACTACTTTAATATATTGTAATTATATTGCAAATATGTTGTGTCTACTCTTAGGTTTTGGTATCGTAAACATAAACAAGAAATAAGTAGTTTCCCATACGGCCTTCACCTTGACACTTGACCCGTGTTGTTTAGCGGGACCCAGCTGTCTGTCAAGCTAAATCACCCACCGTGATCGCTAGGCCAAGCAAACCCGGCACCTGTGATTGGCTGGGTGGCTTGCCTATAGGGAATGCGGATGTAATGTTCCAGCGAATGTTCCATAGTGTAAGGGTGAATGCAGACCTGCACGTCTCATCAGGAACCCGCGCGTCTGTCATCAAACAGCAGTAGTTCGGTGTTATAGAAGGTACGGCCATAACAGTTAAGTGTAACACGAAAAGTCATGTGTTTGTTTAGCCACCACACAACACCTTTGTCACATCCAGGGAGGGCATGTTGACATTAGATGCTAAAACCACGTCTGTATCACCAGCCACATGTTTAAAACTGTTTTCGGGTGTGCCTAAAACATTTTGCTAAATTACAGCAGATATCATATAATAGATTATATGGTCTCTGATTACAGAAACATGCCCATATTTCAATAAAGCACCATAACAATTGTATAAATCTATGCTTGTCGTATATTTGTCTTGTTTTACTTTCAGACAAGATGACATCAAAACCACCTGACAAAGGTGGGACAGAGACAACAAAGTCAAAAGATGCATCAAGTAAAAAACTGGAGCCTCAAAAACCAACAGTGAAAATAGAGATTCCAAGATGGCTGTTTTTCAGTACATCAGTCTTTATTGGCTTTGTTTCTGTCATGATAGGCAGCTACCTGGCTTATGTCAAGCTGATTCCAAAAACGCCAAACATGGACATTCTCTATAATGTTGGCATTGAAGGTGTGCAGCTGTTCGAACAGCACGACAGAGATGGAGATGGTTATTTGTCAATTGAAGAATTTGAACCATTCATATACAGGCTTCTAGAGTCAAATGTAAGTATAAATAGGAATTTATTTTGTCATGGTTCTTTTAATTTTAATGATAGTAACAGAATACCGACCATATGGGCTCTGGCTAATTGGTATCATGTAACCGTGGAGCAATCATTCCATGCAAACTTATGGCATCATATGGGTGAATAAAAAAAATCGCAGAATTATAAACAGCAACTAATATTACATGGTATATATATATAGCTGATAGTAATATAAGATAGTCGAGAACATTTCATGTCATCTGCAATATTATGGCCATATCATGATGAAGAGAACCTTCCCAATCATATACTGCTCATACACCTGCTCTGCAAATTGTTTTTCTGCATGCATTGTCTGATTGTATCTCTGTGCATGTGTGACAACAAATCCTGATGCTGTGATTTCACATGCATATGTAGACTTTCTCAGAGTATAGTTCACATGTTAAAACCTCGAGTTCCAAAAACACTCACCTGTATGCAAAGAAAAATTCCAAATAAAATATATCTTTCATCAGAATCTGTGCAAATATCAACAAAACTCTTGAATGAAGGTACAATAATTAGCAATTTGTTTACTTGTCCCTACCGAGCAGTTCATCAGTTCACCTTCAACATGTGGCAGTGATTTTTATTGACATAAGCACACCTGCGTACAAGGGAACACATTCCCAAATGAATAACAATGATATTGTGACCTTCAGCTCATATTTGTCATACTATTGTCACAAACACTTAGCTTTTCAGGAAAATAGCTTGTTGTGAACATTTGAAGTTCAAATGAAAGTACCGATCTGATTCATTTCCCCAAAGTTTGGAGGTGTTAATCATTGTTGATCTTTAGTTGCCACAGGTTGGTCAGTCCACTTAATACAGCTTGTCAATTTCTTTCTGTTTCATGAGACTTGGCATTCAATAAAAAGTGCAAATTCTACTTGTTTGTCAGTCTAGCTTACGCATTCAGACATGAAATTACTACAACAGGTGACTATGTATTACCTTGGACTGGAAAAGTTCAGCTGCAGGCATTTTCCCCCTTTGGGGGTAATTAACATTGTTTATCATTTTTAGTGTAATGTCTGCAATTCCTTGTGTCAGTATGTCTATTTGCTAAGAAAACAAACTGAATTAGCTGTTGATAAACATGTCATTTTTGTGACGCTTCTTGTTTTCATATTGCTTACCTCTTGGAGTAGGTTTTGTTTTGTTTTCTTATCAACCTCTCCTTTCAGGAGCAGTGAGTCTTTTTTCTTGAGCCAAATATGTGAAATGGGTCTGCATTTCATAGAGATTCAGAAAATTATGAGTTTTGTCTGTATTCTTTGGTCTCATTTGCTTGTTTCTTTTGCTCTGCTATACCACACACGTTACAGACTTTTCTATTAGACATACATTTGTATTTTCATTGTGAATCACATTACCCATATTAATTATGTCTTCAGAACTGACAGTCATGAATGCTTAGACTACTTCGATATGTTTTATTGACGCTTGATGTTCATCAAATACAATCAAGCCAACTCTAAAGTCACTTGACCTGAAACTTTTCACATTGTTTTTGTAGACATGACAGTTTATTGATAACCTATTGCAAGTCCTAGTATCTTGCCAGGGACAAAAGTAGTTCATGTTATGACTGGTTTTCTCGTGAATTCTGACCCAAATTATCCAGGAATGTTTGTGTTTCCAGACAGCCTAGCATATATCTCAACAGGATACTGTATGGAAGAGATTGTTTTGTGTCCACAGCCTTTAAGTTAGTGCATGGTTGGTTGATATTGAATGTCTCAGTCAGCAGTATTTCAACACTTTCACAACAACCTGTAGGATTTCTAATACTATAGTACTGTCGGAAATAGAAAAAAAACTGTTTTTAGGCTGTTACTCTGTATCCCTAAAATTGACACAATTGCAAATAGCATATGTCGAAATAACCCACTTTGGCCTAACTGGGCGTTCAGTGGGATGCGTAATAAGATATCCAGAAAAGCATGTTTACTTGTAAAATCGGGCAAAACTTAGAAAAAATACGAATAGCTGTTGAAAACAATAGATCAGACTATAGATGGCAATTAGGTCGCTCAGCTAGGTATGACGACGGACCGTCGACTCACCTGGCATGAAATGCACGTGCTGCCTACAGGCACAAGGGGTCATCTCAAAGATATTTTGTGCTTTTTCATGTGTGTTGACTATGTTTCATCTACTGATTAACATCTTACGTGTCTTTCTTTCGTAAAGTTTATGTTGAGATATGTAAGAGAGTATGATACCCGAAAACCATAGAAACACATAGTAGTATATAGGTGGCATGACCACCCGAAGATCGACAGGACTGAATATTACTTGTAAATTGTTATGACGTGCCGTGTTCCTCCCCAGTATAATTGCCCTAAAGGATTATCTTATCTTAGCTGATATCTCTATCCCCAAGCCCGACCCCAGGTTTTGCTTTTGAGGCGACCCCTCCTATTTGTTTCTTTTTATAGTGACAGTGAGACTGCATGGTAGCTACATCCTTAATAGTTTCGGCATAAAAGTTATTATTTTTTACGTCAGCTATCATTTACAATGAATCTACGTCTAATTTCAAATTGGGCATTTAAAAAGTGTCCTTTGTAATACAATATTGTCGCACACTAATTTGCATAAAGCCATGGTCTGTTCCAAATAAGTCTTTTTGGACTTAGAAAAAACCTGCATTGCTCATTTCTGCACTAATTTCCCCTTCGTAAAGTCCTTTTTCTCCGTTTCCTATATCTCTACCACTGAGACTGTAGTTAGGCTGAACTTAGTTTAACAGATATTTCACACTTTCACATATCAACTACATAAATTGTAGAGATAAATGGGAAAATACAGTTTTTTCTATTTCCGACAGTACTATAGTAGTAGAAATAGACTAACACAGAGGGCCAGATAAGCTACGTATCCGGGTAAAATACGCATAGAATTACGCATTGAAAAATAATTGTTGCGTACCAATTACGCATTTCAAATGTTAGATACGCAAAAAGTTTAAAACAAATGCGTACGGAATATATTTATAAAAATCGCTTGCGTAATGAAAAAGACATCGATTGCTATCAAGTTGTACTGTTAGTATAGGACAAGTGTTGTATTGTCAGTACAGGATGAGTGATTTTTTATGAAATCATTTCCATTATATTAAAGTTGGTTTTGATTAGGTATGACATAAGGCAGAACATACCTGCTTAGTAAACTTACTCAATGACATATACTTAGGTGAGTAAAATGACTGAAATACGCACATATTTGAAAGCAGTGGGTAATGGAAAATGAAATACCCACTCAACATTTATAATACCCACTCCAAAAAAATACAGTGGGTTACTTTGTAACAGTACCCACATGAGCTAAATCTTATCTGGAGCTCTGTATATTCAGGGACTAAGCGTTAGTGTAGGGCCTGTCCTATTCAATAAGATTTCCTCTTTGTTTAATGCTGCACTCAGCAATATGACAGCTATATGACAGTGGTCTGTAAATAATCAAGTCTGGACCAGACATTCCAATTTTTCACATCATGAGCATATATCTTTGCAAGTGGTATATATGTAATTTCATGCAAACACTAAGCCAGCAAGACAGACCATTTGATCCTGTTGGGTCTGTTTCAACAGACCCAACAACTACTACAACCTGTCCTGCCCCATAATCTCTACAATAACCTGCTGATGCAACATATGTTATATTCGGGATTACACCTTCTGCTGATTGTTGCTAAACACTGGCAGTTGGATCATCTAGTGTCTCCTGTTTCATTAAACTAGCGTGCCATGATATTAGTAATACCGTCAAAACTGTATTCACTATAATAAGCACCTGGGGCACTCATACCATTGACAAATTGGGGTGCATGTTAAACTTAAAGTCCTAAACATCAAGTTACGTTTGTTGTTTGGGATCAAGAAGGAGTGAAGGAGTGAGTTTAGTTTTGTGCCGCACTCAGCAATATTCCAGCTATATGGCGGCGGTCTGTAAATAATCGAGTCTGGACCAGACAATCCAGTGATCAACAGCATGAGCATCGATCTGTGCAGTTGGGAACCGATGACATGTGTCAACCAAGTCAGCGAGCCTGACCACCCGATCCCGTCAATCGCCTCTTACGACAAACATGAGTTACTGAAGGTACATTCTAACCTGGATCTTCATGGGTCTCAAGAGGGAGTGAACGAAATGTAATGTATTCCATCAATGATAAGGCCAGACCAATTTTATTTCTTGTTTTACGGATTTTTGTCCTCAGAAAACCTAAAATCACCAGTCAAAGTAATATTCCTTCTAAATACTCAAAGTATTTTACTTTTGGAAATTTGTGAAGTGTATATGGGGCAAAAAACATTCAAAAACAAATTTTCTTGTACGTTTGCATTTTTTGTCAATAAAAACATTACGATTTTATTTTATGAGCGGGGAAAATTAATTTTTATTTATTTTCTTATTCTTGAAAAAGACGACCAGCGGATCCGTAAAAAAGAAACAAAATTGGTCTAGCCTAAAGATAAAAAAGCAAAGCCTTTTTCAAAAAAGCTGCTAGGCATTATTGTATATCAATTGTATTTTCTGTAACAAATCCTCAATAGACACCATAGGATACAGAGAGTCATGTTAATTTTCTTTAAAAAATCATGTTATGAAATGATGTATACATTTGTCAAGAAACTGGTAGGGATACTTATGATTACAACAAACTGACTGACCATGATGACCTGTAAAAACATGAATAATGGTAGCTTAATTGCCTTTCATGTTTTAAGTATTCTTAACCTCATACCTTTTTGTATGGGACCCTGCAATAATTATGGTGGTGTTTATTGTCCCGTTAGCTTTGAATGAACCATTAACATATGCTCTGGCATGTACAGTATAATGATTTATCACCTCATAACATTAGCGTGACATTTACTTGACAAGACAACCATGTTTACTGTCTCAATGGACTCAGTTTACATTCATTGACACCTTCAGATTGTATTAGATTTCACGTAT